GAAGGGGCTGAGGACAGTAAAGTCATGCTCTTCTAAGGTCTTCATATATATATATATATATATATATATATATGTACATAGGACCATATATATATATATATGGTCCTAAACTGACGGGGGAAGGCACATAGGGGCTTATGCAGTGTACATTCAGCTCCCAGCTCAATATCTAGCCAATATCAGATGCTCAGTAAATATTTAGTCAGAGAATAAATAAAAATGCCTTCAATATAAAGTCTCAACCTATGGTTTCCGGGAACATGCCATCCTGGGAAGGAGGAATTTGGTTTTACTGAAATCAAAATATGAAGACCCATCCATAATGGCAATTCCCTAGTCTTCTGGGTAAGTAAATTTGAGCTTGGAGAACCCAGAGAGAGACAGTCTGTTAAGGAAAACCCAATTATACTGAGGAACATATGTTGCCCTGAGGCCTCTGCTGCCATAACAACATCACGTAACTATAACTACAGCCCCGAGGGCTCTGGCCCTGTCAAATATGGAAAAGGATGTCTTCATCCTAAAACAGCTTTGTGCTCAGATTGACTCCCCTAGAGGGCTTGGATCAGGGAAGTGAGGTAGATAAGTGGAGGAAAAGGGGAGATGAAGAGTAGGGGTGGGAAAATAACTGTTATTGAAATAGGATAGTGAATTTTTAAAAAGCAATTTTCAAAATGTGGTTATTTGACTGTTTAGCTTTGGTGGTTATTTATAACCCCAACTGGAGAGGCCAGGAACTGTGCCTGAGCCTGCTGAGATCTGTCCAATAATTTCCTCCAGGGTTGGCTGGGGGTCAGGGGCAAAGGGTGATTCCAGAACCAAATTAACAAATGTCCCAACAGTAAGAACTCCAGGCCATCTCCTATAAGAGAAAAAAAAAAAAGCCCATTAGAGATTGTTTCAACATTATTTTTAAGGTGCTACAAATGATTTTTTTTTTTTTTTTGCCAGTCCTGGGGCTTGAACTCAGGGCTTGGGCAGTATCCCTGAGCTTCCTTTGCTCAAGGCTAACACTCTACCACTTAACCCACAGAGCTACTTCTGGCTTTTTCTGTTTATATAGTACTGAGGAATCGAACCCAGGGCTTCATGAATACTAGGGAAGCACTCTACCACTAAGCATATTCCCAGCCATGAAAAGATTTTAATATGAATTCTGCCTGCATCATAATCTTTGAAATTGTCCCATGGGTCAGAGACATACCAGAAGTTAGGGGATGCACTTGGCTATGCTAACTTGGCTATGCTAACTAATATTGTTTAATAAAGGTCTAGCCAGGTATGGTGACTCACCTATAATCCTAGTAACTGAGGATCATGATTCAAAGCCAGCCTGGTCAGTAAAGTCCATGAGATTCTAATCTTCAGTTAATCACCAAAAAGATGGAAGTGGAGCTGTAGCTCAAGTGATAGAGCCCTTGTCTTGAGAGAAAAAGCTAAAGGACAGTGCCTAGGACTTGAATTCAAGTCCCAATACTGGTACACACCAAAAAAGGTCCAAGCATGCTTACTTCATAAAGACAGTTTATCTGCACACAAAGTAAATGTCTGTCCTTAACCTTGCCTAGGCACAAAACTGGACTTAAAAAGAGGATTGAATTCCCCAGTACTGGAAAGGGGTAGGATCTAAGGGCTACAGGGGTAATTATTAAAAGAAAGGCTTAGAGAAAAGAGCATGGCTGAGTCCTTGTCGTTCCTGAGGCAACATCTTGCAAAATGAGATAGAGAAGATTAAATTTAGTGACATACCATTTACTAAAATCCTAGGCAGAAGGGAGAAGGTGAGGGTAATGTGGTCAACTAAACAAGGCTCCCTTCCAGAGCATCCTGTACATTTTTTTTGTTGTTGTTGTTGGTTGTGGGGCTTGAACTCTGAGCCTGGGTGCTGTCCCTGAGCTCCTGAGTTCTTCAGCTCAAGGCTAGCACTCTACCACTTTGAGCCACAGATCCACTTCCAGTTTTTGAGTGGGAGATAAGAGTCTCACAGGAGGGCTGGGAAGGTGGCTCAGTGGTATGAGTCCTTGCCTTGCATGCTTGAGACCCTGGGTTTGATTCCTCAGCACCAAATAAACAGAAAAATCTGGCAGTGGCTCTGTGGCTCAAGTGGTAGTGTGCTAGCCTTGAGCTGAAGAGCTGAGAGGCAGCGCCCTGGCCCAGAGTTCAAGACCCACGACTGACAAAAATAAATTAAGTAAGTAAGTAAGTAAATAAATAAATGAAAAGAGTCTTACAAGGACTTTTCTGCCCAGGCTGGCTTTGAATTGCAATCCTCAGATCTGTCTCCTGAGTAGCTAGGATTATAGGCGTGAGCCACTGTAGCCTAGATAATCTTTTAGGCAGCTTACAAACATAACTGAAGAGATATGACACAGGGGCTGGGAAAGTGGCTCAGTGGTAGAGCACTTGCCTTGCATGCCTGAGGCCCTGAGTTGATTCCTCAGCACTACAAAAGAAAAAAAGCCGGGGGGGGGCTGGGAAGGTGGCTCAGTGGTAGAGCACTTGCCTTGCATGCATGAGGCCCTGGGTTCGATTCCTCAGCACCACATAAGCAAAAAGAAAAAAAAAAGAAAAAAAGCCAGAAGTGGCACTGTGGCTCAAGTGGTAGAGCGCTAGCCTTGAGCTGAAGAGCTGAGGGACAGCGCCCAGGCCCAGGGTTCAGGCCGACCACCGAACCAAAAAAAAAAAAAAAGAGATATGACACAGATACAACTAAGAAAATATACAAGGGCACACACAAAAGAGTGCCCTATCCTCACAGGCTGATTTCAGTTCTGCCTAAGGATATTATTACAACAGCATTTTAGCCAATCTCCTGCCTCTACACTCTCTGACACTCTCATCATTCCCCTAACAGCTGCTAGAAAGAGACTTCTAAAATACCAATCTGATCATGGGTTTGCTCTGCTTTAAGTCCTTCAGACACTGCTCACAATCTCCAGTCCTGTTTCTCAGGGTCAGCTCCCAGGCCATGAGTTTAAACCCCAGGAACTACACTACACACACACACACACACACACACACACACACACACACACACACACACACACTCATACAGACACAGGTTTTTTTTGTTTGTTTTTAATAGGAAGCCAGAACATCCAAGGGTGATCTCAGGATCACAACAATAAAGGCAAATAGAAGTAGTGTAAAATTAAATGCATGAGTGCTGAAGTTCAATGAAAGAAGAAATCTAGGCTAGGAATGTTGCTTAGTGGTACAGTGCTTGCCTACCATGCACGAAGCCCTGGGTTTGATTCCTCAGTATCACATAAACAGAAAAAGCCAGAACTGGTGCTGTGGCTCAAGTGGTAGATTGCTAGCCTTGAGCAACAGAGCTCATGGACAGTGCCCTGAGTTCAAACTCTAGGGCTGGCAAAAACAAAACAAAACAAAAATCTAAACAACTTCAAATAAGTTCTTGTTTTTTTTTTTTTTTTGTCAGTTGTGAGGCTTGAATTCTGGGCCTGGATAATGTCCCTGAGCTCTTCAGCTCAAGGTGAGCGCTCTACCACTTAAACTACAACACCACTTCAGGTTTTCTGGTGGTTAATTGGAATTAAGAGTCTCACGGATTTTCCTGCCCCAAACGACTTTAAACCATGATTCTCAGATGTCAGCCTCCTGAGTAGCTAGGTTAAGAGGCGTGAACCACTGGCGCCGGGCTCAAATAAGTTCTTATGTTTAGTTCAACCCAAGTATGTTATTCAAAGCTATTTATAGTAAGCACTAAAAGCTAAATACTAAATAGTAAAAACTGCCCATGTCAACAATGGCCCAAGATATCCCCAAGGACCATGCTGGCTAAAGGTCTGGGACTTTAAATACTAAGTCTTCCGTTGAGCCCTCAATTTATCTTCTGCTGCTTTGTTCTTTTAAGTCCCCCTAATGGAGCACCACCTTAGCTGGCCTCAGGTTGAACTTTGAATTCAGAATCCTAACTTAAGTGACCGAGCTTGCCTGGATTCCACCCAGCTGCTTTGGTCAAGCCTCGATTCTCTAAAGGCTTTTCCTCTGGGGAGGTCCAGTCGCCAAGTTTCCACATTCCGGCCTTTTTTTTTCAGGACCTTTCTTCCCAGTTTAATATCCTCGACCAACTAAACTGCTCGTTGGTAGGCATTCTCCTGTTTAAATACCCAATCGGTTTGGGACTCAAACTTCACCAAAAATATTCCTTCCTCTTTCCCCGCCCCCGCCCTCAACTCTTATTTCACCCATCGGGATTCCAGAGGTCATTTTGAATGAATGTGATTCAACAATTCTCCCACCGTGTACCCTCATATTTAAGTCAACCCCCCCCCCCCCCCGACTCTACCGCGGCCACCTAGTGTTTTCAAACCAAAATACAATAGGGCTAAAAGGTGGATGCTCAACATAGAACTAAATTGGGGATTCTTTGGAACTACAGCTCTTGGAAAATGGCTTTGCATCATACTTGCTGTTCGCTTAAGGGAAGGGCAATGTCTCCTCTAACCAGACCTAGGAAACTGGCTCATGATGGCCGCCTCCCTTTCGTTCTTTATAATCCCCATCACCACCCGCTTTGGGACAGGCTAAAATACAGTTTCTCGTGCAAAATGTCTCTTACAATTTCGAGTTTATAAAGGATAAACGGAAACATTCTTTAGCCAACTCGGCAACCAAAAGGTTAAACTCTGCAACCTGACGGATTCTGGGAGTTTCCTAGCTCCACTCCAGAAAGTAAAATGACCAGGAAGGGACATTTTGCCCATGGCAAAGATGAAACCCGTTAGCTTCATTAGGTTTCAGCCCCAAACAAAAATGGCAAACCACGCTCACCAAGGCTGCCACTCACCTAACTAAAAATGGCTGGATTGACGGTTCCCAGAATAGGCGTCAACGCCTGCCCGATTCTAAAATGGCGCCCGCTGGCCTCACTAAAAGGAGTTAACCTCCCAGCATCCTCCTTGGCCCTTCACGTCAAGTGACGCGACCCCAAACGGAAGTGAGGGAAAAAGCGCTTCAGCCCGCGGCGCGTGCGCAGAAGGGTCTAGACGCTGAGAGGCAGGAGGCACTTGGGATCGTCCGCAAGATTGGGACTGTTAGAGAGGCCGCCACGGAGCCCGCCGGAGCCACCGTTCCTTCTGCTGCTGCCGCCGCTGCCCGAGTTGGAAGCGTCGGGTCGCAGCCGCCGGCAATGCCGAGAAGGAAGGTAAGAAAAGGTAGAAGAAGGATGGCGGGTTTCCGAGGATAGTCGGCTGAGTGCCGTGACGCACTTGGCCACGCCTCGAAGTTGTCGGTTCTAACTTCCCGCTCCCCTGAACCTCGTTAGCCACCCTCTCTTCTCTCGGTACCCGTCAGAAAAATGTGGGCCCGACTCTGGTCTCGGCCTACGCTTGCAACTATTCCCGCCCTCGGCTTTCCCGGATCGGAGGCGTTCTTACTGTTAATTGGCCGCTGTAACGTCTTTAAGCGTATTGATTGGCTAATGACGCCGCCTATTTGGGCCCAACGGTCACCTGCCCGCGTGCGGGGGCGGCGTCTGGACCAGGCCCGAGCTTTCCGCGACTGGTTGTAGAGAACGGTCCTCCTTCTTCTGATTGGTGATTTTTCTCAGTCTGTCCCGTGGGGAGGGCGAGATTTAGCGGGGCCTTGATTGGATGGTCCTTGTCCCGCCCTTCGGGATGCTGATAGGTTCAGAGGCAGCTTTCCTGTCCTGGTGAGAGGTACAACAAAGCGGAGGTCTTGGTGGTGGGAAACCAGCTCCCCCTCTCGAGGGATCCCAGTTCTGATCTGAAGCAGTTAAAGCCTTCGTCCTCCAGTATTTGCTTAGTTTGCCATTGTCGAAAAATAAAGATTAAACACAAGCGCGCGCGCACATACACAAACTAGAAAAGTCTTATGAGGCGACTGTGGAAAATCTTCGTCTCCTTTTTACACGCAGAGGCCGACCTGGAGTGCTTTTAGCCCGGCAGCTGCCGTGACAGAGCCAACACTCTTACAGAACAAACGTTAGGCTAGTCAACAGATGTTTATTGACCAGTTAACTAAGTGCTGGTTGCTGGGGGATTCAGAAATTAATTAGGCATAATCCTGGCTTTAGGATATCACAGTCTAATGGGGAAAAACAGACTTATAAATAACCTTGCAAAAATGTAGTGAATCCTCTACTTGGAGGCGTATTACAGTGGTATAGTAGGGAAAGTGAAAGAGTAAGATTGGAAAAAGGTATTAGATTGAAGTAGATTGGCAGAGACCAGAAAAGAGATGAGTTTCAGGGTCAACCCAGGTCAGAGGTCATGTATTCACCTAGCTGGGCAATTAGACCACATGACCTTTAAGAATCTCTTTTATTCTGGTGATTTTTCTGTGACCCTTTACTCATATCTGTGACTTCACTTATATTTGAGTATATTGACTTGTATTTGGAAAACTGGGAGATAGATTGTGCTTTGAAATTTCTCTTCACAGACACTTTTACAAGTTAAATATTTGTGTTTTTAATGTATTCTACAGTGGTCCCACTTAGGCTAGAGGCATGGCTCAGCTGTAGAGAACCTGCCTTAGAAGGTCCCCAAGGTCAGATTTCATTATGGCAAAAATAATAAAATGACTTGAATTGGTGATATTTATATTAAGGCATATCAAATGCAAACATACTATTGGTGCTATAGAATAGGTCTCCAGCCCCCCTTCCTGTGGTTTCCAAGTACAGTGAGTTCTTTAGTAACTTATTTGGTGGCAAACCTGTAGGCTACTTATATATTTTTTTTAATTTATTTTATTTTATTTGAGAACATACTGTACAGAGGGGTTACAATTACATGGGCAGGATAATGCATACATTTCTTACCAAGCATTGCAGCCTCCTCCTTTGTTTACCCTTCACCTCCCTTCCCAGCCTCCCCCCTCCCCCCCACCCAATCCTTCCCCCTTTCCCCCCCTACTTATATTTTTTATGTATCTCTAAGTTGTGTATTTTGCTCCAGAAGTAATATATTTGATTATGGCCATTACTTGAAATATATGTGTGTGTGTGTGTATACACATATAAAGTGCTGTCTAATACTAAATACTGAAAAAGTTATGAATTTCAAACACATTTAATCCTGAGGGTTTTATTCTTTTGGTGAAGAATTGGGACTTGGGGGCTAGAGGCGTTTAGTTCAGTGATATAGTCTATGTTACCATCCTCAAATCCTTGGGCTCAATCTCCAGTACCAAAAATAAAAAATAATTTGAAGCTTTGTAGTTTTTTTAAATTTTAAATTGTTATAAAATTGGTGTACAGAGGGTTTATAATTTCATAAGCGAGGTAATGAGTACATTTCATTTTAGACAGTGTTTCCCCTTTGTTCTCTCACAGTTTTTCTATCTTGTCCCCACCCACAAGTTGTATTTTCAAAATGGTGTCTAGTGAGTACCACTGCTGCATTTATTCATGCTTATGTCCTTCCATATTTGTGCCCCTTTTCCCCACCCAAAAACAGTAAAATAAACAGGATAAAAAAAAAAAAAAGAAAATCCTCAGGTTTGCATTTCCTGGAGTTCATATCTTCCCCTCCCAGCCACCCTGCCCCAAGCTCTTTGCTCAAGGCTAGCACTCCACCACTGTGAGCCACAGTGCCACTTCCGGTTTTCTGGAGCTGAGAAACTTATCAGAGTCTCATGGACTTGCCTGCCAGGGCTGCTGAATCACGATCCTCAGTAGCTAGGATTATAAGCATGAGCCACCAGCACCCAGCTGGAGTTCATTTCATGTGAATATTATTTTGTATGATCAGAGGCACGGAGGCATTACACATCAGTGTTCCTCCCCTTAGAGTATCCACCTCTGGTGTCACTGTGTGAATGCCTAGATGTAGTGTTTTTTTGCAGATAATTTTCCTTTTCACTTTATCAAAGGGCATAGTGTTAAATACTCAATTGTAAAAGTATTCTTTTTGGCCTGTCATTACTCAGGAAGCTAATTGGTAATTATTGACTGAAATGTGATTCTTTTGGTTACCCATGATCCTTTAGTATTGGCTGCCTTTTAAATAATTATTTTTGTCATTCATGTAGAGAAACTTCAAGAATGGATGACATAAGAAAAGAATTTGGGGGGGGGGCCTCAAGGTGTAGCTTAAAACATTAGAACACCTACCTGCTCAAGCACAAAGAAAGCGCTGAGTCCAAACACTCCTACTACCCCAGAAAAGAATTATTCTGATATTTTGAATGATGCTTTTCTTAACAACAAAAAAGTGATACCTCAACCTGGGGACTTAGTTCTTTTTGTTGTTGTTATTGTTTTTTTGGGAAGGGGAAAGTGCTTTTATTTAGTTTTGGTACTGATCTACAAATGGAGTTCAGAATTAGTGATAATATTTTACATTTATTAAGCAAAGATGTCTTATTTGTAGATTGTTTTATTTAATTGCCCTAAGCAAGGGGAGTTGGCTTTGGGCAGGGAGAGAAATGCTTGTGGGATCTTTTGTTAGGCTTGAGCTTGATGTTTCCAGAATCATAGTGTTCATTTAATTCCAGTGCTAATATCTGAATCTGTGTTGTTACAGAGGAATGCAGGCAGTAGTTCAGATGGAACCGAAGATTCCGATTTTTCTACCGATCTCGAGCACACAGACAGTTCAGAAAGTGATGGCACATCGCGCAGATCTGCCCGAGTTACCCGCTCCTCAGCTAGGTTAAGCCAGAGTTCTCAAGGTAAAAGTGTTTGTTTTTCTTGACTAGTACTCACAGCAGATTAATTGGTCATCATATCGTGTTAGCTAATATGCTAATTGCTCTTTGGGAATGGTATAGATGCCATAATCTAGCAAATTAAAGGGAAAATACAGAAGTGTCAAGTATTTAAAAAGGTTTCTGTTAGATTCAGTTCCAGTTCCAATTTGTAGATCCCCCTTTCTTTTTTCTTTCTTTCTTTTTTTTTTTTTTTGGGGGGGGGGGGCTTGGTTATGGGGCTTGAACTCTTGGCCTGGGCACTGTCCCTGAACTCTTCAGCTCAAGGCCTGGTCCCTATCACTTGAGCTACAGTGCCACTTCCAGTTTTCTGGTGGTTAATTGGAGGTAAGAGTCTCATAGACTTTCCTGCCCTGGCTGGCTTTGAACTACGATTCTCAGATCTCAGCCTCCTGAGTAGCTTGAGCCACCAGCGCTCAGCTAAACCCTGTCCCCCCCCCTTTTTTGTGCAAATTCTTTATTGTAATTAAGTGATTACATAATTTCACAAATTTCACAGTATTGTGGGATAGTGATGCTTAGTTAAAGTCACAAACACATTCTAACTTTCATGGGGCAAAGTATCTATCGTGATCTATAAAGTTTATGAGTTCTATAAACTTTGACAATACAATTATTTCTTCCACATCGGATGATATGTTCATTTCTTTCCTTTTGCATAGTGTCAATTGTTCCCTCTTTCCCACTCGTTCCCACCCTCCCATCACTGCCATTGAGTTGCTTAGTTCATTTTGATCAATGTCCATTGCAGCTGATAGGTCCCACTGTTGTATTTTTTTCCTGATTCCCTCTAGTTCTGTGTCCTCCTCCTAGTTTCCCTCCGGTGTACACATATATACCATATATGTGATCAGATGAGTGGAGATCATTTGTTTCTTAAGTCTTGTTAACTTCGTTGTACCACCTTATGTTTTGGATTTAACATCCACTTATCAGGGAGATCATGTGCTGTTTGTCTCTTTGCTCTTGGCTTATCTCACTCAACATGATTTCTTCTAGTTCCATCCATTTTCCTGCAAATGCCATTATTTTCTCCTTTCTAATGGCTGCATAGTATTCCATTGTGTATAGATACCACAATTTTTGGATCCATTCATCTGTGGTGGAGCATCTGGGTTGTTTCCATGTCCTGGCTATTGTGAACAGTGCTGCAATAAACATGGAGGTGCATGGTTTCTGTTGTTCAGGATAGATGCCTAGGAGTGGTATGGCTGGGTCATAGGGGAGGTCTATATTTAGCTTTCTGAGGACCCTCTAGACTGCTTTCCAAAGTTAAACCCCCTTTCTTTTTTTTTTTTTTTTTTTGGAGGGGGGGGGGTGGTCCAGTCGTGGGGCCTGAACTCTGGGCCTGGGTGCTGTCCCTCAGCTCTTCAGCTCAAGGCTAGTACCCTACCACTTGAGCCACAGGGCCACTTCCGGCTTTTTTTTTCTGCTTATGTGGTGCTGAGGAATCGAACCCAGGGCCTCAGGCTTGCAAGGCAAGCGCTCTACCACTGAGCCACCTTCCCAGCCCCTAAACCCCCTTTCTTGATGACTGGTGTTTCTATAAAAGATGGAAATATTATTGCATTACTCTAGGATGATTTAGCAGCTTAAAATAGTCTCATAACTAGTTCTAGAACAGTATTAGATATACATTTAGATATAACAAGTTGGACTCAAATATCAGTGTTTAAGTACCCCAAATTTTGTTTTGGTAAGAAAGAACAGAATCTCAGGGTTAGAAAAAAGTTTAAAGGTTCTTATCATACATTTAGACATCTCGGTTTCAATTTGGAGGTTACTTATGGCTCCTTCTTTCCCAGGGTAGGAAAGGAAGTTCAGTTAATACATATAAAGCTTCAACAATAGATTAAAGGAGAATTATATTTTCTGAGCACTTGGGTAGTATTGATTTGCTTATAATGAGAGAAAATGGGAGTGTTTTCTTAATAACTTCATCTTAATTTAAGATTTTAACCAAAGTATAGCGATTTTCTCTTGATTTCTCAACCCAGGGGTTCTTCTCTTTTCCCCCACTCCCCCTAAGACTTGATAAATGGCTACTATAATTCAAGCATTATGTTATATGCTAGCCCAGATACTCTGACAGGACAATCATAACTCATGCCCTTAAAAGAGCTCACAATTTAGTGAGTTGTTAATGGTAAGGCTCTTAAAAAAACGAGTGAGAGAGATTGGCTTAGGGAAGCCCAGATGTGGAGAAGCCAATTTAAGCTGTCTTTCAAAATGATCAACTAAGAATCTAGTAAGAATTGACAAGTTGAAAGATGGGAAAATGTTATTCCTTGCAGAAGGAACAGTATAGGCAAAGAATTGATCACCCCTGGACACTTGAAAATTGTGAATTTTCAAAGCAGCTAGGACATGTATGAACTATGGATCTCTTTCATTTGCTTTACTTTGAGACCACAGAACTGTACAAACCCGGTGCATCTTCACAGTAAATGACTCTCTAAAGCAGTCATCTGATATGAAATGTGGACGGCCTGGTAGAAATACACAAACTTATAGACTGGCTATATGCTAACTTTTCTCTCTAGAAAGCTTGAGAATTGGGGCTGGGAAGGTGGCATGCCTTGCATGTCTGAGGCCCTGGGTTCGATTCCTCAGCACCACATAAGCAAAAGGAAAAAAGCCAGAAGTGGCGCTGTGACTCAAGAGGTAGAGTGCTAGCCTTGAGCTGAAAGCTGAAGGACAGCGCCCAGGCCCAGAGTTCAGGCCCCACAACTGGACACCCCCCCCCAAAAAAAAAAAAAAAATTGAGAATTCCAGTTTTCTTCTTTGGAGAATCATTATGACTTATACATTATTGAAAAAAATTTATTATTATTTTGCCAGTCCTGGGGCTTGAACTCTGGGCCTGAGTGTTGTCCCTGAGCTACTTCTGCTCAAAGCTAGCACTGTAACACTGAAGGAATTTTTCTATTTATTTATTTTTTGTTGGTCATGAGGCTTGAACTCTGGGCTTGGGCGCTGTCCCTGAGCTCTTCAGCTCAAGGCGAGCACTCTACCACTTGAGTGACAGTGCCACTTAGGTTTTTTGGTGGTTATTTGGAGATAGGAGTCTCATAGACTTTTCTGCCTGGGCTGGCTTTGATCTCATCCTCCTGTGTAGCTAGAATTACAGGCGTGAGCCACCAGTTGCCCTGCTGAAGGAATCTTTTTTATTGCTTAAAATATACTTTGACTGTGCATGGTGTCATATGCCATAATTCTAGCACTAAGGAAGTAAAGGCATGAGGAATGAAAATGTAAGCCCATCCAGATGACCTAGCAGACTCCAAATCAGCCTGGGATACATGTCAAGACCTAGTCTCAAAAAAGAAAATGTCTCAGCCGGGTGCCAGTGGCTCACGTCTGTAATCGTAGCTACTCAGGAGACTGAGATCTGAGGATTGAGGTTCAAAGCCTCAAAGCCAGCCCGGGCAGGAAAGTCCATGAGACTCTTAGCTCCAATAAACCACTAGAAAACAGGAAGTGGCGCTGTGGCTCAAGCGGTAGAGCTCCCTCTGAAAGCCCAAGGACATCGCCCAAGCCCAGAGTTCAAGCCTCATGATCTACACACACACACACACACACACACACACACACACACACACACACACACACACACACACACACACACACACACACACACACACACACACACACACACACACACACACACACACACACACACACACACACACACACACACACACACACACACACCCAAAAAAAAAAAAAAGTTAAAAATAACCTCCTCATAAAAGGAAACAAATTACTATGCTGTTAGTAATAGAATGTCAGTTTCATGACGAGTTTGAATAAAGGAAGACAAACAGGAGGAATCTAATATATAAAGCTTTCTATATAAAGCTTTCTATGTACCAGGGATCATGTTACATGCTCTCTATATTTTCTCATGTTCCTCACCAGAACCTTTGAGGAATGTATGCCTAGTATTTTCCTTTGTTGTTGATCAGGAAACAAGCTTGGTGATACTGATGTGCTCAAGAAGCACATCAGTGTTGATTATGGAACCTAAACTAGTAATACTATACATACTATATCTATAGCCGAACTGAGCTCTTTTATTTATATGTAATTTAGTAATCTATACCCAAACTAAGCTCTTTTACTTATATGTAATTTAATAAAATATATTTCAAGGATTTTTTGGATTTTATGAAGTACAAAGGAGGAAGAGAAGCTACATTTTCATTATATGGATGGGAAATAAAATGGATTTCCTTTTATTTTGCAATCTTTTAAAATCCGGATCAGATTCGAGTCCTGTTCGAAATTTGCAGTCTTTTGGCACTGAGGAGCCTGCCTATTCTACCAGAAGAGTTACTCGTAGTCAGCAGCAGCCTACCCCAGTGACTCCGAAAAAGTACCCCCTTCGGCAGACTCGTTCATCTGGCTCTGAAACTGAGCAAGTAGTGGACTTTTCAGATAGAGGTAACTGAGTGTTGTAAACCTGTGTGTGTACTAATCACTTTCATTTTAAAGAGGGTTTGGGTACTGCAAATAGATGCCTAATACTGACAGAATTCATGTAGACAAATGCTGCCTGATTCCTTTTTTTGGGGGGCCGGGGTAAGGGTTGGTCATGGGGCTTGAACTCTAGGCCTGGGTGCTGTCCCTGCACTCTTCATCCCAAGGCAGGGGCTCTACCACTTGAGCCACAGCACAACTTCCAGTTTTCTGGTGGTTAATTGGATTCAGCCTGGGCTGAATCGTGATCTTCAGATCTCAGCCTCCTGAGTAGCTAGAATTATAGGCATGAGCCACTGGCATCCGGCCTCTTTTTTTTTTCCTTTTTTGAGGCAGTAGCTGAGACTGGCCTGGAACTTGTATGTACCTCCTGAGTGCTGGGATCGCAGGCATGCGCTATTATACCCAGCCTGTCTGCTGTTTTCTTATAATTATATGCCTTGAAGAGGACAGTTTAGTTACCAGTATAGGGTTGAAATCCATAGCAACCAGAGATTACACCTGTAATAGAAACAAGAGAGTAGGACACTTTCATCCATGGATGAAGAAGATTTGACTTTGATTTTCTTTTTCTTTTTTTTTTGCCAGTCCTGGGGCTTGAACTCAGGGCCTGGACACCACTGTCCCTGAGCTTCTTTTGCTCAAGGCTAGCACTCTACCACTTGAGCCCCAATGCCACTTCTGGCTTTTTCTGTTTGTGTGGTAATGAGGAATTGAACCCAGGGCTTCATGCATGCTGGGCAAGCATTGTATCACTAAGCCACATTCCCAACCCTACTCAGATTTTCTTTTTTTTTTTTTGTCCGTCATGGGCCTGAACTCTGGGCCTGAGCACTGTCCCTGAGCTCTTCAGCTCAAGACGAGCACTCTACCCCTTGAGCCACAGCTCTACTTCCAGATTTTTCTGCTTATGTGGTACTGAAGAATCAAATGCAGGGCCTCATGCATACAAGGCAAGCACTCTACCCCTGAGACACCTTCCCACCCATAAAGTCATAATTTTTTTTAAAGGACTTCTTTCCATCCTGTTTTCATTACTTATGATCAGATGCTTAAGAGAAACATGGAGAAATGCGTTAAGTAAACCCCAAGTTTAATTTTAATCAGAATTTAAGTTGCACCTAAGAAATGGTATCAGTGTCTCATGGTAGATAAGTAAATAACAGAAAGAGAACCAGGAAGCCCATAAACTCTTCTGACAATAAACCTTTAAATGAACCCATTCACACATTCTACCAATTGCTGTTGCTTTAGAAACTAAAAATACAGCTGATCATGATGAGTCACCACCTCGAACTCCAACTGGAAATGCACCTTCTTCTGAATCTGACATAGACATCTCCAGCCCCAATGTGTCTCATGATGAGAGCATTGCCAAGGACATGTCCCTGAAGGACTCGGGCAGTGACCTCTCTCATCGTCCCAAGCGCCGTCGCTTCCATGAAAGCTACAATTTCAATATGAAGTGTCCTACACCCGGCTGTAACTCTCTAGGTGAGTGTGACCTACCTTCATGACTCCATTCTGTGGTTCTCTCTCAGAATTGGGATCATCCAGAAATATTTTATGTTCTGTTGTGATCTAGCTGCTAAGATTATATATTTCTAAGTTATATACTCAGTAATGAGTTGCCCACATAAATAAAAGCAATTCTGCTTCTTGACCTGTTGTGCGTAATGATTAAACAGAAAGAAATTACCTGTAGTGAAATTGGAAGCTTTTCCAAGTGAAAAACCCTTTTTCTCAGCAAACACAAAAAGATCAGTTATCTTTAAATACCTCATGATATTTTATCATAGTTGATGCTTATGAAGACTGGTAGAAGCCGTGCCAGTGCCTACAACCCTAGCTCCTCAGGAGGCTGAGATCTGAGGATTTCAGTTCAAAGCCAGCCTCAGCAGGAAAGTCTATGTGACTCTTATCTCCAGTTAACCACCAAAAAGTCAGAAGTGGAATTGTAGCTCAAGTAGTAAAGTACTGATCTTGAGTGAAAAAAAGCTGAAGAATAGCACTGTCGGGCCCTGAGTTCAATCCCCTTTATCAGCACAAAAAATAAATTAAAAAATAAAGGACTGTGACTACATAGAGCTGTGAAGGAAATGAGAAACGCTGTTTTTTTTTTTATATCAAGAGGCTATAAAGACTGATAGAGTACACGTGAGACTCTGGCCTTCTGTGACTTCAGTAGGTTTATTTGGTCATGGGACTTGAACCTCAGGGCTGGGGCACTGTCCCCGAGCCTCCTTGTGCTCAAAGCTAGTGCTCTACCATTTGAGCCACAGTGCCACTTCCAGCTTTTTTGAGTAGTTTATTGGAGATTAGAGTCTCAAGGGTATTTTTCTGCTTTGGCTGGCTTTGAACCAGTCAGATCTCAGCCTCCTGAGTAGCTAGGATTACAGTACTCAGTTGACTTCAGTAGATTTTAAGTCTTGTAGTTTTATGTACTTTGTAAGTATAAGCAAGATAAAATATTTCTTTGGTGCCTGTAATCAGCAGCGACAACAAAAAGACTTATCTGCCAGGTGCTGGTAGCTTAACACCTGTAATCCTAGCTGCTCAGAAGTCAGTGATTGAGAGGATTAGGGCATCAGGCCAGCCCATGCAAAAAGTTTATGAGTTGCATTGTAACTGATAGCTGGATATGGTGACACATACCTGTAGTTCCACGTAGATGAGATTCAAGGCATCATATCTCCAGACCAACGCAGGCAAAAAATGTTCCCAAGACCCCATCTGAACAGAAAAAGTTAAGGCATGGTAGGTGATACAAGCCTGTCATTCCAACAACATGGAAAGCATAAAGAATTATAGCAAAAAGCAAGACTCTGTAAATAACTAGAGCACAAAAGGTTCTGGACATGGCTCTAGCCATAGATTGGCTACCTAGCAAGTGTGAAGTCCTGAATTCAAATCCCAGCACTGTTAACAAAAGGAAAAAAAATACGTTAGTAATCTTCAGAGCTTTTAGAGAAATAGTGCCAACAGACTTTTTGTTTGATACAGAGTTGCCTCAAACCTGCCATTTGTTTTTATAATATGCAGTATATATGAATCACAATAAAATGAGAATGACTGTATCGAATAGCAAGTTTTCACCAAAGTTGCACTGTTTTGCTTTTGTGTCCAAGAAATTGTAATATATTGCTTGGTTGCAGGGGTGCATTCTTTGTATATGTGTATATGTGTATGTAGCACAGCTTACTGCGTTTATGCCTCTGATGAATTATAAGCAAGCTTGCGATTACATTAAGTGAAATGGTGCTGTTAAGAGAAAATTTACAAGCTTACTGCTAGTATAATGTATACTGTTTTAAAATTCTTTTTTTGGGGGGGGAGGAGGTTTGAGTAGCTTTGTGCCTGTCCAGGATCTTGAACTAATAAGGGCCTGGGCACTTTCCCTGAGCTTTACTACTTGAGCCACAGCTCCACTTCTGGTTTCTGATAAGAATCTCACAGACTTTACTGGCTGAGTTGGCTTTGAACCATAAACCTCAGCTCTCAGTCTCCTGAGTAGCTAGAATTACAGGCATAAGCCACTGGCTCCCAGCTTTGAAATTCTTTTTGATAAATTCAAAGAATACACTTAACAATGAAGGATACAGTGTAGTAAATACATGTGTGTAATGTAGTGATAACCATTGTCAAGTATTGCATAGTAGATATAATTATGTGTGCTATGCTTTCTATGAGTAGCTGCTGGTAGGTTTGTTTATACAAGCATCACCACATATACATAACAGTGTACCCTGTTACCATATTATAGCAACCAAGCTTTCATATGTAAAAGTGGTCTGTTGTTAATGGAAACATTGCTAAGTAGTACGTAACTGTAAGTGGCTAGAATTGCCTTTTAATAATAAAGTTTTAGCGAACTGGCTCTGAATGTCATAAAGGATGTTTTATTATCCTTTAAAGTTTGCTCTGGGGCTGGGAAGGTGGCTCAGTGGTAGAGTGCTTGCCTTGCATGCATGAGGCCCTGGGTTCAATTCTTCAGCACCACATAAGTAGAAAAAGCTAGAAGTGGTGCTGTGGCTCAAGTGGTAAGAGTACTAGCCTTGAGCTGAAGAGCTAAGGGACCGTGCCCAGGCCCAGAGTTCAGGCCCCATGACTGTCCAAACAAACAAATAAGGTTTGCTCTATAAATTACTCTATGTGTGTGTGTGTGTGTGTGTGTGTGTGTGTATAATTTATTTTTATTTTTATTTTTTTTATCGGTCATGGGTCTTGAACTCTGGGCCTGGGTCCTGTCCCTCAGCTCTTCAGCTCAAGGCTAGCGCTCTACAACTTGAGCTACACCACCACTTCCAGTTTTCTGGTGGTTAATTGGAGATAAGAGTCTCACGGACTTTTTTTTTTTTGTCGGCCTTGGGGCTTGAACTCTGGGCCTGGGCTCTGTCCCTCAGCTCTTCAGCTCAAGGCGAGCGCTCTACCACTTGAGCTACAGCGCCACTTCTGGTTTTCTGGTGGTTTATTGGAGATAGGAGTCTCACGGACTTTCTTGCCTGGGCTGGCTTTAAACCGTGATCCTTAGATCTCAGCCTCCTGAGTAGCTACGATTTCAGACGTGAGCCACTGGCAATAGGCACTAGGCAAAAGAAGCTCAGGGACAGTGCCCAGGCCCTGAGTTCAAGCCCCAATACTGGCAAAAAAAAAAAAAAAGCCTTTTTTCACCAGCAGGTAATAGCTCAAATCTGAGGATGTGGTTCAAAGTCCAGACAGACAAATCTGTGAGACTTTTATCTTCAACTAACCAGCAGAAAGCCAAAAGTAGAGATATCGCTCAAGTAGTAGAGAGCTAACCTTGAGCAGAAAAAAACAAGCAAGGATGCGAGGTCCTGAGTTCAAGCCCCATTATTGGAACAAAAACAATGGTTTTTGTTAATTGTTTTTCTTCATAAAAGAAAGGTGAAGATTCTTTTGTATACTTTTACCTTACCCTAGCATATCCTTACATCACTAATTAGCATTGTCTCATCAGCCCTTTCACTCCATGGTTGGTATTTTATAAATTTTCTTGGTTAAAGAGATGTATAATAATGTAAAGTCATGTTCAACGTCTTGAGTGTTTTTCAAAAATTGTACATGAAAAACAGAAGAATAGACTAGGAATGTAGCTGTGTGTTAGGGCCTATCATGTGTAAGATCCTGATTTTTGTTTTTTTTTAAATCTCCAGCAACACAAAAAAAGAAAAGATACTTCTTAAGATAAAACAAGCTTCTGTATTCTAACATTTTCACCTCTTAAGCTCTTGTATCTATTCTATAACTATATATAGATATTTCATATCTATTTTTTCATCAGAATTATAAAAGAAGCCTAACTTTTTATTTTTTATTTTTTTTCTTTTGGGTCCGGTCGTGGGCCTGAACTCTGGGCCTGGGCGCTGTCCCTCAGCTCTTCAGCTCAAGGCTAGCGCTCTACCACTTGAGCCACAGCGCCACTTCCGGCTTTTTTCTTTTTGCTTATGTGGCGCTGAGGAATCCAACCCAGGGCCTTAGGCATGCAAGGCAAGCGCTCTACCACTGAGCCACCTTCCCAGCCCCAAGAAGCCTAACTTTTTAAACTGAACTATTCATCCCTCAAAATATGTGTATGATTAGGCCAGGCACCTATAATCCCAGCTACTTCAGACATGGAAATCAGGAGGATCTCAGTTCAAAGCCAGCAAGAACAAAAGTTTACAAGACCCTTATCTTGTTAATGAGCTTGGAGTGATGCTGCGTCTCTTATTAACTCCCTACACAGGAGGCATCATAGGATTGCAGTCCACACTCAGGAGAGAAATACAAGACCCTATTTGGAAAATAACTAAAGTAAAAAGGGCTGGATGAGCTGGGCGCTGGTGGCTCACGCCTGTAATCCTAGCTACTCAGGAGGCTGAGATCTGAGGATCGCGGTTCAAAGCCAGCCCGGGCAGGAGAGACCGTGAGACTCCTATCTCCAATAAACCACTAGAAAACCGGAAGTGGCGCTGTAGCTCAAGTGGTAGAGCGCTCGCCTTGAGCTGAAGAGCTGAGGGACAGCGCCCAGGCCCAGAGTTCAAGCCCCACGGCCGACCAAAAGAAAAAAAAAAAGGGCTGGATGAATGGCTCAAGTGGCAGAACTCCTGCTTGGCAAGACTGAAACTTGAGGTCAAACACCAGAAGAGATGGTGTGTTTACTCTTGTGTCAGTGATTCACACCTATAATCCCAGCGCTATCCCTCAGCTCTTCAGCTCAAGGCTAGTGCTCTACCACTTGAGCTACAGCACCACTTCCAACTTTTTCTGCTTATGTGGTGCTAAGGAATCAAACCCAAGGCTTCACACATGCAAGGCATGCACTCTACCACTGAACCACCTTCCCAGCCCCCCAAGTAGACAAATGAGAGATTCTCATCTCTAATAAATCAGCAAAAAGCTAGAACTAGAGGTGAGGCTCAAGTGGGAGAGTGCAAAAAAAAAAAAAAACTCTGAGATAGCACCTAGGCCCTGAGTTCATGCACTAGGACCAGCACAAAAGAAAAAATACGTGTACTTACATGGTAGAAAAATGCCATTTTCGCCAGGCACTGGTGGCTCACACCTGTAGTCCTAACTGCTCAGGAGGCTGAGATCTGAGGATCGAGGTTCAAAGCTAGCCCAGGCAAGGAAAGTCCGTGAGACTCTTATCTCCAATAAACCAGTAGAAAACGGAAGTGGCTTTGTGGCTCAAGCAGTAGAGTGCTGCCTTGAGCTGAAGAGCTGAGGGATAGCGCCCAAGCCCAGAGTTCAAGCCCCATGTCCGACCAAAAAAGAAAAAGAAAAATGCCATTTTCTTCTCCATTTTTCATGTTTCTTTAATTAAAGGGATTAAATTCTGTTTAGGTTGCTCTGCACACTAGAAAAAGTGGTACACTTAATTTATGCATATTACTTGATTAACATAGAGTGGAATTCCACAAAAAGAAAAGGTTCTTATATGTAATGTTGTTTTGTGGATGTATGACTTTATATACTTTAGTATTGACAAAGGATTTGACAATTATATCAGAAGTAACAAAAACTTGCATTGAATATATACAAGAATTTATAAAGATTATCAGATCTGTCCTGCAGAAGCAAAGAATTTATAGTTGATTCAAGTCACTATTTTTGGTGAATGTATTTGATGTAAATGATACAGCAAGAAAATAAGCTTGCTATAGAGAAAAATCTGGACTTTCCAAGTGAACATCTTCTTTCTGGAGATTAAGTTTTCCCTCCTTTAACAGGACATCTTACAGGAAAACACGAGAGACATTTCTCCATCTCAGGATGCCCACTCTATCATAACCTCTCAGCTGATGAGTGCAAGGTAATTGTATTTTTATTTATTTAGCATCTACTTACTGAGGGCTTGCTGCTTGCTCAACACTTGGCTAAACATTGGCTACAACAGTGAAGAATACAGTAAGTAATGGAAGAAAACAGGAGATTGTCTACACAATGTTTGGAACTTTAACCACTATTGTAATCATCTGTTGACAGTTGACTTTGAAAACTGCTAGGAACATGCCTCTGCTTCTGAGGCATAATTTGCATAAATATGTGATTGCAGCATTGTGCATTAAGTTCTCTTAAAAATCTGCGAAGTTAATTTACTCACCTGCGTGCGTGCGTGCGTGCGTGCGTGCGTGCGTGCGTGCGTGGTTTTAACTCAGCCAGGCCAGCACTATCTCTGAGGTGTTTTGTTGTTTTTCTTAAAGCTAGTGCCATACCACCTGAGCCACAACTCCACTTTTAGCTGTTATTTTTTGTTTGTTTTTGGGGGGGTAGTTAATTGGAGATATGAGTCTCATGGACTTTTTCTGCTGGGGCTAGCTTTAAACACAACTATCAGATCCCAGCCTCATGAACAGTTAGGATTACAGGAGTGAGCCAGCCAGTGCCTATCTAATTTGCTTTTTAAAATATTTTCACAATTCTTTTCTTCTTTGTCCATTTCTGCAGAATATTTTTCCTTTTGGTTACTCTGTGACATCTACTCTTAGCTAATTCTTTTAAATTATTGAAAACTATACCTCCAGGGCTGGGAAGGTGGCTCAGTGGTAGAGTGCTTGCCTTGCATGCACGAGGCCCTGGGTTCGATTCCTCAGCACCACATAAGAAAAAAAAGCCGGAAGTGGCACTGTGGCTCAAGTGGTAGAGTGCTAGCCTTGAGCTGAAGAGCTGAGGGGCAGCGCCCAGGCCCAGAGTTCAGGCCCCATGACCGGACCCCCAAAAAAAAAAAAAGGAAAAAGAAAACTATACCTCCTAAATAACCTTTGGGACTTTGAGGAAGCAATAAAAAATAGAACTTAAGGAATTTTACAGAAGCAACAACTGAAAATGGTAATCTAATGGATTGCTCAGGTAGTGTTTTGACAAGTTATTTATATGAAATACTTTGGTTAAACAAAGTATTACTAGTTGTTTATTTTACTTTGTGAACTAGGCCTCGGCCACAGATTTTTACTTGTCTGGGAAGATTTCATTAAGAATAATTATATTGGGCTGGGAAGGTGACTCAGTGTTAGAGCGCTTGCCTTGCATGCCTGAGGCCCTGGGTTCGATTCCTCAGCACCACATAAGCAAAAAGAAAAAAGACGGAAGTGGCGCTGTGGCTCAAGTGGTAGAGCGCTAGCCTTGAGCTGAAGAGCTAAGGGACAGTGCCCAGGCCCAGAGTTCAGGCCCCAAGACCGACTCCCCCCCCCCCCCCCCCCCCAAAAAAAAAAAAAAGAATAATTATATTTCTAGCTAACATTAACTTCTTCAATGCAAGTACTTGTTCTATCACAAGTAGATCACAGGATTAAAATTTTCTTTAGTTGGTCTTTATGAAGAATAGTTTATTTCCAATTATATATGTATTCTTAAGATTAGAATAGTTTTCTTCATTCCAGATTTTTTTTTTTTGTCTGTGCCTGGAGCTTGATCTCTGGGCCTGGGATCTATCCCTGAGCTCCTTTTGATCAAGGCTAGCACTCAGCTTGCTCAGTGCCATTTCCAGCTTTTTCTATGATTATTTGGAGGTAAGAATCTCATGTACTTTCCTTCTCTGGGCTGGCTTCAAACTATGATCCTCAGATCTCAGCCTCCTGAGTAGCTAGAATTAAAGGCATGAGCCATCCAGCTTCCAGATCTTTTTTGTTGTTCATGGGGCTTGAACTCAAGAGTCTGGGCACTGTTCTTAAGCTCTTTTGCTCAAGGCTGGCACTCTACCACTTTGAGCCATAGTGCCACTTCCAGTTATCTAGTGGATAATTGGAGATAAGAGTCTCACAGACTTTCCTTCCTGGGCTGAGTTTGAACTATGACCCTCAAATCTCACCCTTCTTAGTAGCTAGAATTATAGGCATGAGCCACTGGGGCCCAGCCTGCTCTTTTTTTTGTGAGCAAGGCATGTTCTCTGTGTAGGGTCTTGCCATTATCTTTGGCCCGATTAGAGCTATAACAGCTCTCCCAATGTCTTAATTCAGAAGCTGATGAGACATCCTTCTCTGACAACTGATCTCTGTATTTTTATAATCCTCTTCTACTACTTGTCATTAAATTAAACTATCTGAAACTTTGGTTTTACATAAAAATCCTCCTAAGATATAACTAAAAATTATTGGCTTGTAATACTATACATTTTAAGCAGTTTATTTTATTTTATTTTAATTATTTTGGGGGTCCAGTCGTGGGGCCAGAACTCTGGGCCTAGACAATGTCTGTCAGCTCTTCAGCTCAAGGCTAGCACTCTACCACTTGAGCCACAGCGCCACTTCCGGCTTTTTTCTTTTTGCTTATGTGGTGCTGAGGAATCGAACCCAGGGCCTCAGGCATGCAAGGCAAGCGCTCTACCACTGAGCCACCTTCCCAGCCCCAAGCAGTTTATTTTAGAACATGAAAATTTTCGATCTAAAGCCAGGCACCAGTGGCTCATGCCTCTAATCCTAGCTGCTAAGGAAGCTGAAATCTAAAGATTGTTGTTCAAAGCCAGCGCAAGCAAAAAATATCCTGTGAGACTTTTATCTCCAGTCAACTATTCAAAAACCAAAAGTGGTGCTGTAGCTCAGAGTGATTGAGTGCCTTGAACAAAAGAACTCAGGGACAGCACCCAGAACCTGAGTTCAAGCCCCATGACCAATTTTTTTTGTCAGTTTTGAGGTTTGAACTCAGGGCCTGGGTGCTGTCCCTGAACTCTTTTGCTTAAGGCTAGACGTCTATCACTTTGATCCACAGCTCTGCTTCCTGTGTTTGAGTGGTTGATTGGAGATAGATTTTTCTGCCCAGGTTGGCTTTGAACTGTGATCCTTAGATCTCAGCATCCTGAGTAGCTAGGATTATAGGTGTGAGCCACCAGTGCCCAGCCCCATGACCAAAGTTTTAAAAAAGATTTCAGTCTAGGGAAGAAAATTCTGATGGGGGGAACCCACAAAACATTTTTTTTTCTTTTTTTTTGTGTCAGTTATGGGGCTTGAACTCTGGGCTTGGGTGCTATCCCTGCATTCTTCAGCTCAAGGCAAGCACTCTACCGTTTGAGCCACAGAGCCACTCCGGTTTTCTACTGGTTTATTGGAGATAAGAGTCTCACGGACTTTCCTTGCCTGGGCTGGCTTTGAACCTCCATCCTTAGATCTCAGCCTCCTGAGTAGCTAGGATTACAAGCGTGAACCACTGACGCCCAGCGCACAAAACATTTCTGTTCTACTTTTTTCCTCTTTTGGTCCCCTCTTTCAAAAGGTGAATCAAGCTTACCATAATTCATTTTTCCTGCAGTACACTTAAAGGTTGATAGAATTTTTTTTTTTTTTTTAAGTCAGTCGTGGGGCTTGAACTCTGGGCCTGGGCGCTGGGCTCAGCTCTTTAGCTCAAGGCTAGCACTCTACCACTTGAGCCACAGCACCACTTCTGACTTTTTTCTGCTTATGTGGTGCTGAGGAATTGAACCCTCATGCATGCAAGGCAAGCATTCTACCACTGATCTACCTTCCCAGCCCCGGTTGATAGAATTTCTAAAACAAGCTATGTCTTACATTTAAAATCTCATATGGAAAGATTAGATTGGTTTCTTACATTTATAAATGTTCTAGAATTTTTGTTTTGTGTTGTTGCAAACTCAGGACCCCATGCATACTAGGCTTGCAGCACTAGGCTAGATCTCTAACCTAACAAAAGCTCTTGAGTTTTAAAACTACCTGCATCTACATGATTGCCCTTGAGTTTTCCAGTAAACCTCTGTAGTCAGCAATATTACCATTTCTATTCAGTCTTGAACTTCTGTGGCTATGTGTGCTAACCAGTTACAAATATTTAAGGACTCAGTGTCTTATTTAGTGACACGTATCAGGTAAGTGGCTTACACATGTACTCCCAGCAATGAGATATCAGGAGGATTGAAGTTGAGGATAGCCTGTACAAAAAGTTAATGGGCCCCCATTATACCAGAAAAGTTAACAAAAAGTTAATGGGCCCCCATTATACCTGGTGGTTTGCCCTTGTCATTCTAGCTATGAGGCAAACATAAGTCCGATGATCATGGTTCAAGCCAGCCTGAGGAAAAATGTGAGACCTTATCTCAAGTATAACCAAGCCAGAAAGGACAGGAGGTGTGGCACAAATAATAGAATGCCTTTGTGACATGTGCAAGCCCCTGAGTTCAAACCCCAGTACCACCAAAATCAGGGAAGACCGCAAAAAAGGGGCTTACCTTAGGGAGGGAGGCAATACATACCTATAAATATCTCAATAAGAATTTTATGTAGTAATATGAGAGACCAAAAGGCTGAAGATAATGACTGTTTCTGACATGGTAGATTCCAATGTACTGGTTTTGATAAAGGAGGTCAAAGAAGATGTTCCTGATGAGTTGGCATTTGATCTCAGATATGGATAGTGGCAAAGAAACAGTCCTATAAGGATCTAGAAGAAATGGCTGTGGAGAAAGAATCACTGAATTTCAGGGATTGAAGGCTGTGGCTAGAACATGATGGGAAATGAAGAAGCAGGGCTCAGGTCAGGAAGGCCTGAGGTTTGGCACAGGAATATGTTTCCATTCTGATGGCAATAGGAAGCATTGCCTAAGCAGAGGCATGATGTAATTTTGTGAACATTTTGTTGAAATGACATCTCACTTGAGGATAGAACGAGAAGAAGGCTGCTCAAGAAGTTGTGGCAGTAGATGGATTCTGGACTAGCATGGTGTCTGTGGAAAAGTCTAAGAATAGGTTGCATTTTGGAGTGGAGCAAGCTACTAGACTTGCAGGTGGATTCGATGTGAGATGTGAGAAAAAGAAGAATCACAGATGACGTCCAGTTTTTACCTGGGCAACTTAAGATGGTGTGTAGCCGTCTGTTATCAGGAAGATTTGGAATAGAGCAGATAGGTAGGAAGTGCTAGTTCTGACATTGCTAAACCTTAGTGAAGCTGAATAGGTAGTTGGATTTGAGGTCTCAATTCCCAGATGATGAAACTGAAACTATGTAGTGATGGGATTTGTCTGAGATTGTGTAACTGTGTAGAGTTTTCCTATAAACTTGAACCCAAGTTTCCCTTTTCTTTCTCTTTCCCCTTCTCCCCTCCTTTTTCTTTTCCTTTTCTTCTTTACTCTGTCATCTATCTATATCTATATATCTATATCTATCTGGTCTTACTATGTTGCCCAAGCAATCCTCCTGTCTCAACATGCTTAGTATCTAAGACTACAGGTCCCTACCACTGTGCCTGGCTCTACCTAGGTTTCCTAATGTTTTCTTTGTATTTTCTCATTCTCTTCTTGCACTTCTTCAGTTATTTTTTGTTTGTTTGTATAGTTTTTTTGGTCTTTTTTTTAAAAAAAAAAAAACAAAAAAAAAAACTAGTTTCTTAACAGTTTATTAGCCAGTACAGTGATAGGAATCCAGATTCAATCATCAGACTTGTGGTAAAGCTTTCCCACCATTTAGCAACAATAATTTCACTTTTCTGATTTTCACTTAGTGGCTGAGAAAGGATGATAAGAGGCTTGCTTTGTCTCTTATAGAGATTGTGATAATATGTGTACCTTTTACTTTCAAAGTACAGCCTAAACGCAAGGGATTATCATGAATTCTTTTACTTTAAGTAAATGTAGTCTTAGAAACAGGTGGATTTATTGACATTGTTGATGGTTGCAGGTGAGAGCACAGAGCCGGGATAAGCAGATAGAAGAGAGGATGCTGTCCCACAGGCAAGATGACAACAACAGGCATGCAACCAGGCACCAGGTATGGGCCTTGTGAAAGCTCTGGCTGGCCATTCAGTTTGAGATCCCCATCTTCAATCTCCTTTGACCCATGATTTCTCTATAGGCATATCCATGCCTCTTGTTGCTCAAGGTATGGCTAAATATCTTTTCTAGACATCAGCCCAGGATATTTACTTCCCAGGTAGTAAATTTCTATAAATAAATACTTCTACCTCATAAATGGTAGAGTCAAGCTACTTATTATAGAAATAGTAATAGAAGATACTCTTATTTGAAAGATTACATTGGTTGTTCCATTTTCTAATTTTTCCCTCTTGGTTTTTAACTCCCATTATAGTTTGCTTTCAAGCCATCTCCACTTAGCTGGCTTATTTCTAAGGTCAGCAGTGATATTTCCTTCATATCTGATATTCATCAGCTAGGTTGCTTTTCTTCTTTTTTCCTGTGATTTCCAGGAAGCATCCTTGTTCTAATTCTCTGAACATTTGAGTTGCATTGATTCCTTTTCTTTTATAAATGGCTTTGGTCTTCACTTTTGGCTGTTTTTCTGCCTGGAACTCTATACCTGACCAAGAAGAAGAGATTATATTTATTCTTTTAAGGCCTTGTCCAATTCTTAGCTCTTACAGGAATTCTTTCCAAATCTTCACCTGCTATTAGTGAGCCACTTCCTTTAGTGTAGTCCATTCTAGTGTTCAAAAAATTTCAGCCTTTATCACATATTATTCATAGTTTCTTATCTAGGTGTCTGTTTTTGTAGTTAGATTTTAAGTGGATAACTGGGAGCATGGTAGTGAGGAAGTTTTGCTTGGAAGACAAATTGATCTGGATCTGAATACTGTGATTCTTTCTCTTGCTGTTTTGTCCTGGGCAGACCATTTAATCTTCCTAAACTTTATTTCCTTGTTAATATAAATGAATGACAATACAGAGTAGTCAGCTGAACCTTGTATATGTAATAGCTATCACATTGCTTGGCAATAAAAATGACTCTAAGAAATGGCCACCTTTTTCATTATGTACCTTAGGTTCTCTTCTTACTCAGTTTCTTTGTTATTCATTTTGTATCACTATCAGATCAGTAAACATTACTTCAAAAACAGTATTCAATAAATGCTTACTGAGTTGTGATCTTCATCTTATTTCTGTTGCTTTGAAATAGGGCTTGAACTCAAGGCCTGGGCACTGTCCCTGAGCTGCTTTATGCTCAAGGCTAGTGTTCTACCACTTGAGCCACAGTGCCACTTCCACACCTTGAGAGAGAGAGTGTGTGTTTGTGTGTGTGTGCATGCATGCTCAAGGCTAGTGCTCTGCCATTTGAGCCACAGCGCCACCACTTCCACACCTTAAGAGAGAGAGAGAGTGTGTGTGTGTGTGTGTGTGTGCATGCATGCATGCGTGCTCAAGGCTAGTGCTCTACCACTTGAGCCACAGCTCTACTTCTGGCTCTTTGGTACTTAATTGGAGATGAGAATCTCATAAACTTTCTTGCCTGGCTGGCTTGTAACTTCCATCAGATCTCAGCCTCCTGAGTAGCTAGGGTTTCAGGTATGAGCCACTGGCACCCAGCTTGACTTGCATTCTTAATTCATATTAATGTTAGGATAAGTTTATAGCCAGGTGTATGTGGAGCCAAGTGCTGGTGGCAGGATCAGTTACAGCCCAAGCTATACAAAAAGTTCTCAAGACCCCCATCTCACCTGACACTGTCTTAGCTCATGCCTATGATCCTAGCTACTCAGGACTCTGAGATATGAGGATTGTGGTTCAAAGTTGAGTGATTCTTCAGTTAATCAGCCCCCGCCCTCCCCCCCCCCCCCCCCCAAAAAAAAAGAGCTGGAAATGGAGTAATCCTTAAGTGGTAATACACTATCCTTCAGTGAAAAAGCTAAGGGACGGTGCCCAGGCCCTGAGTTCAAGCCCCAGTACTGGATTTTTTAAAAACCTATTTCAACAGGAAAAACTGGACATGATGGCATGCCAGCCAACTACAGTGTCCCAGCTATAGTATGAAATATAAATAGGGAGATAAGGATCCAGGCATGGCCCAGAAAAAAAGCAAGACCTTGTCTCAAATATAACCACAGCAAAAAGGACTGGAGAGCACTTGCCTAGCAAGCACAAATTTCTGAATTCAAACCTTAGTACTATTAAAAAATAGAACCTATGTTTAACTAGCAGTAAATATAGTTTGAGTGTGAAGGAAATTAATTTTAAATTATAAAATGGATACATTATTCACAGGTAACTAAATTTTTGGCTTTTTTCTTTATAAAAATGTTTATTAAAATTTTGTAGTTTTGAAGTTTAACTCTTGTAATGAGTTTTCCAGCTGACTTCTCAGTTTTTTCTTTTAGGCACCAACAGAGAGGCAGCTGCGCTATAAGGAAAAGGTAGCAGAACTCAGGAAGAAAAGAAATTCTGGACTAAGCAAAGAACAGAAAGAGAAATGTATGGTGAGGAAAAGTTTAGTTCTTATTTAGCATGAACTGAGCTCATTTGTTTCCCTTTCGCTTTTTAAGCTTTTGCCTTGCAGATTAGCCAATTGCTGTTTTCTACGAGAGACCATCAGGTAAATATCAGAAACTCTTTGCAGGCGCTTAGAGCTTACTATAGTCCCCCAAACTGGGTTGTTGAATGGAAACAAGTCTTGGAAAAACTTACAAAAAGTTCTTCGAACCTGTCTTTTGTGACAAATTCCAAACTGGCCAGAACCAGATTAGCATGGAAGAAATGATAATAGGAACAAAGATGCAAATGAATAGTTCTTCAAATGCTAATGTATGCTTGAAATCTAGTGTGTTGTTCCTGAGGTAAACCTACTCCTTCAGTTAAGTACTTTTGTCTCTTTTCTGGGGGAGGTGGAGTCTAGTGCTGCAGGGAAGGGCTAGAATCCAGATTTAAAAGAGAAGTCTCTATCCTCCAGTTTCTTTCCAGGGACGGATTACTTGTATCGTATGTCATGGTAAGGCTTTATTATTTAAAGTTGGACTGTTATTATCTTAATTCTCTGTGTTTTTGTCCTTCATCTTGCTTAATATAGTGTCTAGCCTGCATTTTCTGTACACTTAGGCTCAAGTTTTAAGTGGGAACCTTACACAGTTGGTAGGTAGTACTATGTGGCCACAGCAATTCAGGTGAAAGAATTTGGAAAAGACTGCTTAGTCCAGCTGCCTCTCTCTCCCTACTTGCAGGTTTCAGTCTAGCATCTCAAAATACTAAGGCTTGGAGAATTTGGTTTTTATTTCTATTTATCTTGCTTGTAAGTCAGGGGAATATCCTCCTGGGTTTGTTGTCCTTTGTTTCTTACTGTCCTGCATGTTTTCTCTGGAAGAAATAGAGGCCTAGAGTCCTGATCATGGAGCTTAGCAATAGGAGGTACTCTCTCCTGGACCTTTCAAAGCATCTCTACTGACTAACTAGGACTTTGGCAGTACCATGCAAATAGTCTACCTGTACTCTATCCCTGGCATCTAGGGTGTAAGCACTGTGTAAATAGCTTCTAGTTGTGGTTGGCATACTTTGAAAGGAAGTGGACTACATTTAGGACCAGAGAGTATCATGCTCTGGTTATTTTTCTAGGAACATAGACAAACCTATGGGAACACTCGGGAGCCTCTCTTGGAAAACCTGACAAGCGAGTATGACTTGGATCTTTTCCGAAGAGCACAAGCCCGGGCTTCAGAGGATTTGGTGAGTGCTAAAATCTCCAATTGAGGGAGGACCCTTGTAAAAGGTACTTAAAACTGCCAAGAAAAATGATTAGCAATCATTTTGATGGGAATTAAATGTACTTTGCTGCTTGAATCTCTCCCTTTACCCACTTGTTCTTTTGAGATTGCCCACGCATATTTAAAATGAATAATCCACTTCCCCTTCCTCCCTACTCCTTACAATATTCACCTCCTTTCACTCTGAACTGGAACTTCCAGTTGGGCTTGAAGTTATAAGGCTGGTTAAAAACAGTAGGTGCTCCTTTGTCTCTTGAAATTTGCAATTCTGGAAACCTCTGAACTGTGAGGTGCAGCGTACCTCCCCTTATGTAGAGAAAGCTTCCTTAACATCCTGCAGTTAATCTAGGAGCATGAAATTAACTGACAAGGAGAATAACTGGGAAGGCTAACTTTCAGATATTTTATTGAATTTGTTTACTTATGAGATGGGAGTTTCACTATGTTGCCCAAGCTGTTCTCAAACTCTTGGGCTCTACCAATTCTCCTGTCTCAACTCCCCAGTGCTAAGATCACTGGTGCTAGCCTAACCACTACTCTTGGCTACTGTTTAAGAATTAAACTTTTTTTTGGGGGGGGGGGGGGGTCCGGTTGTGGGGCTTGAACTCTGGGCCTGGGCGCTGTCCCTCAGCTCTTCAGCTCAAAGCTAGCACTCTATGACTGTGAACCACAGCGCCACTTCTGGCTTTTTTCTTTTTGCTTATGTGGTGCTGAGGAATTGAACCCACGGCCTCATGCATGCAAGACAAGCACTCCTCCACTGAGCCACCTTCCCAGCCCCAGAATTAAACTTTTATAATTAGCTCACACTTAGGTATGATGCCCTAGGCATTATTGAGTTGTACAAAGGATTTATAATTCCATAAGTCAGGAAATGAGTACAGTGTTTCCTGGACAATGTCACCCCTTGACTTTGCCCCATTTGCCCATAAGTTACATGGTTCATTTTTTACGTCGGCTATATTGAATACCATGATACATTTGTTCACCCTTCTTCCATTTCTGTGTCCCCTTCCCCAAAATAAAAAGACAACAATGAAAATAAAACCAACAACAACAAAACCATGTTTCCATTTCCTGGAGTTTGTTTTGATAAGTATTGTTTTAGATGTCTGAAGGAATTAGACCCTTGAATACCTCCTCTAAGTATCCTGTAAATGCACAGAGCCCTGTATAAGTTATCATCTCTGGTTGTGTTTTAGATGTAATGTTACATAGAACATCCTAGGCTGAATTTTTAATAAGTTTAGATCAAGAAAATTCTGGTGCTTGAATTTACCTCAGAGTTAATAGATTAAATGTGTTCAGGGAAATTTAGTATGTAAAGTGAATCTCATCTTCACCCCTCCCTTTTTTTTTTTACTGTATCAAATACTAGAGAGTTGAAAATTTTATAGGAGGCAAGGTTTGATGGTTACAGTAGGCTGGCTGCTTTCCACTGCTGATTTTCTCTCCTATTCTGGAAAGACACTGTCTAGGCCAGTTTTTCACAGCTTTCCACCTGGGTATGTTTACAAACTATTTCTGTAGTCAGCTCATAGCCACTTTAAGAAAAAATGATACACAGAAATATTCTCTACTGTCTCACATACCAGTGTTAAATACTTTTTTAAAAAATAACTTTTTTATTGTGAGAATACTGTACAGAGGAGGGGTTACAGTTACACGAGCGAGGTAATGAGTACATTTCCTTTGTTTTTCCCCTACCATCCCTTTCCTTCCATCTCCACAACTACACTCCCCGCACCCCCAAATGCTTTTTTTTTTTTTTTAATGTCAATCAAGAGGCTTGAACTCAGGATCCCTGAGTTCTTTTTTGCTCAAGATTAATGCTCTACCACTTTGAGCCACAGCTCCACTTCTGATTTTCCTGATGGTTAATTGGAGATAAGAGTCTATGATTTTCCTGCATGGGCTGGCTTTGAACTGCGATCCTCCCATCTCAGCCTCCTGAGTAGCTAGGGTTATAGGAGTGAGCCATTAATGCCTAGCCAAAAATACCTTCTTTTTTTCTTTTTGGTGGGGGTGGGGGAGAGATGCTGGGGCTTGAAGTTGGGGCCTGGGCCCTGCCTATGAGCTTTTCTGCTGAAAGCTAGATCCAAAGTTCCATTTTAGTTTTCTGGTGATTAATTGAAGATAAGAATCTCGCAGCCTTTCCTGTCTGGGTTGGCTTTGAACTGACATTATTATGCCACTTGCAAGAAAAAAATGATAAGAACTAGATAGTATCACGTTGAGCAAGATAAGCCAAGTTCAGAGCATCAAATATGACAGGTTTTTCTCCCATATGTGAAACCTTACCATAAGTGGGGACTATTAAGGGAAATCAGTGAAAGCGGGAAAGGGGAGCAGTTGAAGGCAGTGAATATAATCCAAATATATTATGTATGTTTATGAAAATAGCTTGTAGTTAAAAGCTGTAAGAGGCCAGTGTGGAGCTAAAAAAGTAATGGGGGATAAATGAATGAAATGAAAACTACATTTAATATATATTAAAACATTTTAAAGGGGCTGGGAAGGTGGCTCAGTGGTAGAGCGCTTGCCTTGCATACATGAGGCCCTGGGTTCGATTCCTCAGCACCACATGAGCAAAAGGAAAAAAGCCGGAAGTGGCGCTGTGGCTCAAGTGGTAGAGTGCTAGCCTTGAGCTGAAGAGCTGAGGGACAGCGCCCAGGCCCAGAGTTCAGGCCTCATGACCGGACACCCTTACCCCCCCCCCCCCCCCCCCAAAAAAAAATTTTTTTTTTTTTTTTTTAAAGAAAAAAGTACACATTGCAAATTTGTCAGGGATTCACAGGCTTTATAGAAGCTTTTGCAGATGAATGAAGCACGTTCTAATAATCTTGTCTTTAGGTTTTTTTTTGTCGGTCATGGGGCTTGAACTCTGGGCTTGGGCGCTGTCCCTCAGCTCTTCAGCTCAAGGCAAGCGCTCTTACCACTTGAGCCACAGCGCCACTTCCGGTTTTCTAGTGGTTTATTGGAGATAGGAGTCTCACGGTCTTTTCTGCCCGGGCTGGCTTTGAACCGCGATTCTCAGATCTCAGCCTCCTGAGTAGCTAGGATTACAGGCGTGAGCCACCGGTGCCCGGCTTGTCTTTAGTTTTTAGATTTTGTTGTTGGTTATTTTTGGTCGGTCATAGGGCTTGGACTCTGGGCCTGGGTACTGTCCCTCAGCTCTTCCACTCAAGGCTAATGCTCTACCACTTGAGCCCCAGTGCCACTTCCGGTTTTCTGGTGGTTAATTGGAAATTAGAGTCTTATGGACTTTCCTGCCCAAGCTGGCTTTGAATCGAAATCCTCAGATCTCAGCCTCCTGAATAGCTAGGATTATAGCATGAGCCACCAGCTCCCGGCTAGAATATTTTTTTATTTTTGGGGGAGGGTCCAGTCGTGGGGCCTGGGCACTGTCCCTCGGCTCTAAGAGTTAGGAGTTTGTAATAGATTACCTTCATATAGTTTAATTTGGCTTTGGCTGGTAAAAATGAAGTCATATATCCAAGGGCTTACTCTGATGGGACCCAGAATGTGGGTGTAGACAAACACCTGTTGAGATCTATATAGCTAATAAGTTTTCTAGAAGACTGCCTGATTTTCCAAGCTTAGCATGATGGCCTCAAACTATAGTCTTCTCATTTTCAGCGTCAGGAATAACTAGGATTACAGGTAGAAGTCACGATGCTTGGCTCTTTTTGACTTTGATTTCTTCCTTGGCAACAGGAGAAGTTAAGACTGCAGGGCCAAATCACAGAAGGGAGCAACATGATTAAAACAATTGCTTTTGGCCGCTATGAGCTTGATACTTGGTACCATTCTCCCTATCCTGAAGAATATGCACGATTGGGACGTCTCTACATGTGTGAATTCTGTTTAAAATATATGAAGAGCCAAACAATACTCCGCCGGCACATGGTAAGTTGTGGTGGGTGCCTTTGCCCTGACTGAGATTGGGATGTTACAAGATCTCTGGATTTTGTTCTAGAGATGGTATCTGTCCAAGCAACTCAACATAGCAATGGGAATTGAAAGCCATATGAGGGAGGTCATCCTGTAACAGAGGATGAAAGACTTGTCTGATTTTATTGAGTCTGTTTACTATGTTTTTTTTCTTCTTTTTTTTTTTTGATTAGCTGTGAGAAAGTCATACAGGGAACTGGCCACCTATGGCTTATACCTGTAATCCTACCTATTCAGGAGGCTGAGGTCTGAAGATCATGGTTCAAAGGCAGTCAGAGCAAGAAAGTCCATAAGACTCATCTCCAGTTAACCACAGAAAAAAATAACTAGGAGTGGCTCAAGTAGTAGAGCACTGGCCATGAGCACAAAAGCTCAGGGATAGTCTCAGCCCGAGTTCAAGCCCCAGGACTTGGGGGAAAAAAATTCATAAAGGAGATTTTTGTCATGTAGCAGGGATAGAGAAAAGGGTAAAAATTAGTTTAATTTCTTTTTTCCCTGTCTGCTGAGACAAAGTCTTACAGCATAGTTTGTGCTAGACTGGAACTCACCTCAGCCTTCTGAGTGCTAAGATTATAGACTTGTACCTTGTTTTGAGATACCTCTTAGATAGGTCTGTTGCTCCCATAGTCATAACATAATTGTGGCCTTTAGTTTGCCTGTCTTCTCTGTGCATCTTTGTGTGTTTGCACATATACATTCATGTGTATGACAGTGCTAGGGGTTGAACTCTGGGTGCTGTCCTTTATCTTTTTCACTCAAGGCTGACACTGTCACTTTAGCCACAGCTCTACTTGTGGCTTTTTAGTGGTTAATTGGAGATACCTTTTCTGTCTATGTTGGTATGAACTATGATCCTCAGATCTCAGCCTCCTGGAGCTAGTATTATAAGTCTGGGTCTATCTTCCTATCTATTTTCCGTGGTTTCCATGTGCTAAGCACCTAAACACAGACTTACTAGGGTTTCTCTAACAGTTTTCTTTAGTTCAGTGATGATACTTTTTCATGTTCTTGGCTCTAGAGCACATAATACTGTCTGTAATTTTGTAGTCCAGTGCTGCTACTTTGACTAGTATGGGGATAGAATAGAGTGAGTGCAGGTGGAGGCAAGGATTGGTGGAGACAGTTAGGCAGAGTGAGTAGTAGTGGTGGCAGCCTAGACAGATTGTCGAGTAAGAAGATAAGTAAGACTGATATTACAATTATAATATGATGTTAACTACTTGTCATTTACCTTTTTTTTTCTTTCTTGTTGTTTAGTAACACCAATAGAAGCCAAAAAGGCAAGAAATAGAGAAAACAAAAGGTCTGGATAGCTCTATGAGCATACTGAATATTTAATGGTCTGTTGTATTATATAAGTATAAAAATCAGCTGGGCACCAGTGGCTCACGGCTGTAATCTTAGCTATTCAGGAGACTGAGATCTGAGGATCACAGTTCAGAGCCAGCCCAGACAGAAAAGTCCCCATGAGACTTATCTCCAATAAACTACTCAAACAACCTGGAAGTGGTGCCTGTGGCTCAAGTGGTAGGGTACTAGCCTTGAGCACAAGGAATCTCAGGGACTGTGACTAGGCCCTGATTTTGAACCCCAGGATTAGCAAAAATGAATAAGTATAAAAATCAAATGTCAGAAAATGCCAATCTATTAATCCAAACCTATTCTGATTTCCTATTGCTTCAGGTATAATCACTGAAATGGCCTTGGATTAGTTTGATTGTTGTTGGAAAGAAAGTACTAGCATGAGGAAAGGGGTAGATATAATCTTTAGATTATAGGTGTAAGCTACCCAGCACCAAGCCATATACTTTTTCTTTTCTTTTTTTTTTTCCTTCAGTTGTGGGGATTGAACTCGGGGGCCGGGGCCCTCTCATTGAGCTCATTTGCTCAAGGCTAGTGATCTACCACTTTGAGCCACTGTGCTACTTCCTGTTTTTGAGTGGTTAATTGGAAGTAAGAGTCTCACCTGGACTTTCTGCCCACCCTGGCTTTGAACCACAATCCCCAGATCTCAGCCTCTTGAGTAGCTAGAATTACAGGTTTGAGTCACTGATGCCTGGCTCAGGCATGATTGAAAGCAGTATTTATTAATCTTTTATTTTTATTTTTTGGCCAGTCTTAGGGATTGAACTCAGGGCCTGGGCACTGACCCTGAGCTTCTTTTTGCACAAAGGTAGCATTCTACCACTTAAGCCATTATGCAATTTCTGGCCTTTTTCTAGTTATGTGTTACGGAGGAATCGAAACCAGGACTTCATACATACTAGGCAACCACTCTACCACTAAGCCACATTCCCAGCCCCTAAAGCAGTATTTTATAATGTATTTACATTAAAACCTTTCAAGGCACACAGATGTAATTCTAGCACTTAGTAGACTGAGGCAGGAGAATCAGTTCAAGATCAGACCTGGATACATGGTGAGTTCCAGGCCAACCTTTACTAAAGATCAGACTCCATTGTTTTTTGTTTGTTTGTTTGTCGGTTGTGGGGCTTGAATTCTGGGCCTGGGCACTGTCCCTGAGCTCTTCAGCTCAAGGCTAGCGCTCTACCACTTGAGCCACAGTGCCACTTCCAGCTTTTTCTGCTTATGTGGTGCTGAGGAATTGAACCCAAGGTCACATGCATGCAAGGTAAGCACTCTACCACTGAGTGTTAAGATTGCCAACTGGGGGTTGGGGGAGCAAAAGCTGGATTCTGGTGTCTGCTGAGGTCTGAGGATCATGTTTGAAAGCCAGTTGGGCAGGAAAGTTCAGGAGACTACTAAAAAGCTGGAAGTGAAGCTGTGGCTCTAGTGGAAGAGCACTAGCCTTGAGTACATAAAAGCTCAGGGACAGCACCCAGGCCGACAATAACAAACAAAAAAAACTGAAACTTGGGCACTAGTGGCTCATGCCTATAATCCTAGTACTCAGGAGGCTGAGAATCTCAGTTCAAAGACAGCTGGGGCAGGAAAGTCTGTGAGACTCTTACCTCCAATTAACCACCAGAAAACCAGAAATGGCGCTGTGGCTCAAATGGTAGAGTGAGCTGAAGAGCCGAGGGACAATGCCCAGAGTTCAAGCCCCATGACTGACAAACTGTTGGCAGGGCTATTACTTCCGTGGTAGAGCAGTTGCCTATAGCTATGTAAGTTTCTGGGTTCCATCCCCAACACCACAAACCAAACCAAAATATTGGCCTTTTAGGTACCTTGTGCCCTCTTGTGGCCATGTGCCTCCAGCTTTCGGCTGCTCAGCCAGGTTCCCATGCCTTCTTATATAAAGTGCTGGAACATATACATAGTTCCATAGTTGTTATCATTGTGAGTTAGATTTTCTAATCTGAAAAGGAGACGGTAATGATGAGTAGTTACTGGTAAAGGTGGGTATAAAGTACTTAGTAACACTAAGCTGCTAGGAATAAGCTGCTTAGGAATTTCCTGTTTAATAAGCAAAGGTATTCTTATCTGGCTTTTGTGTAGTAGATGATTTTAATCTCCTGGGCTGAGGTAATGCCAAAGTATAGCCCAGAAAACTTGTTCCAAACAACTATAAAATGTCTTTAAGTATATTGTAGTGACTTTAGAAGCCTTTATTTGTTTTTCTGGGAAAAAAATCTATTTTATTTACTAAGGTGTGTTCAACTGACCTTTAGCTCACTTAACCACATTTGACCTATGATTTCTTTTCCTACTAAGGAGCATCTCATAGGGAGACTTTTCCTTGATGAGAAATCCATTCTCTTACAGGCCAAGTGTGTATGGAAACACCCACCTGGTGATGAGATCTATCGGAAAGGCTCAATCTCTGTGTTTGAAGTAGATGGCAAGAAAAATAAGGTAAAATGTCATAACTTAAGAGAAATGGTGATGCACATTCATGGTTTTTAAAGAAGAATGTGTAGTTTTTGTTATACCTTGTAACAAGCTAGAGATATTGTGTGTTATAGCAATGGAAAAAGTCTGCCTTACGGAGGATAGTGGTATGATTATTATTTAAAAATAATTTTTGTTGTTGACTTTAGAAGTCAACAGCCCTCACATAAATTCTTTTTCTCCTTCCAGATCTACTGCCAAAACCTGTGCTTGTTGGCCAAGCTTTTTCTGGACCATAAGACATTATACTATGATGTGGAGCCCTTCCTGTTCTATGTTATGACGGAAGCAGACAGCACTGGCTGTCACCTGATTGGATATTTTTCCAAGGTCAGCAGGATCTGGCGATTAAGAAACTAATGGCCACGGCAGGGATATGGGTATTAATAATTGAGGGCTCAAGTAAATCCCTAATACTTTGAACAGTAATAGCCCTTCCCTAAAGTTGAGTTGGGGTTCATATTATGGATAGTTTAATGAAAATGCTCAGTTCTTTACTGAAAGCTTTATCCAAGCCAGGTGCTAGTGGTTCACACTAATCCTAGCTACTCAGAAGGCTAGACTTGAAGGACTGTAGTACAGAGCCAACTCATTTAAAGTATGTAATTGACTGGTTTATAATACATTTTCAGAGCTATATGAACACTAGGCACTTGTCACAGTTTTCATAATTTCTAAAGGAAACCCTGTGTGCATTAGCAATCTACATTTCCAGTCTTGTATATAAATTTGCCTATTTTGGACATTTCTTTTTCTTTTTTTCTTTTAAATTTAAAAAAAATTTTTTTTTTTGTCCTGGAGCTTGAATTCTGGACCCGGAAGCTGTCCTGCTGTCCTTGAATTCTTCAGCTCAAGGGGAGCGCTCTACCACTTGAACCACAGTACTACTTAAGATTTTCTGAGTGGTTTATTGGAGATAAGGGTCTCATGGACTTTCCTGCCCAGGTTGGCTTTGAACCATGATCCTCAGGTCTCAGTCCCCTGAGTAGCTAGGATTACAGCCATGAACCACCAGCACCTGGCTTGAACATTTCTTTTTTTTTTTTTTTTTTTTTTTTTAATTTAATTTTATTTGTGAACATACTGTACAGAGGAGTTACAGTTACATGGGCAGGATAATGCGTACATTTCTTACCAAGCATTGCAGCCTCCTCCTTTGTTTATCCTTCACATCCCTTCCCAGCCTCCCCCCGCCCCCCCCCAATCCCAATCCTTCTCCTTCCCCCCCCCTCCCCCCCAACGTTGTAAAGCTCGTTTTGGACATGACAACTTGTACTTCTCATTGTTGGAACAGGTCCACCTGTATCCTTAAACAACTGGTTTTTCCCCATCTCCTCCACAAGTTATACTGACATCAAATATAGTGAAAGCAGGGGTTATACTGTGGAGGAGGGACATACAAAGCAACAAAGAGATAATCTTATAAATGTGTTAGAAACACATGCATGAAAGAAAAAAAACATTAAAATACACATCTAAGGGTTCATTTTCCTGACATCACATTATCTGACCTTTGAACATTTCTTATACATAGAATCTTCAAATATGTGTTGTAATTTTATTCTGATCCCGTTTCAAAACGAAGGCGGCTTGTATTTCGTTCCTTTCCATTAGGCAGGTGACTAGTCTTCTGAAAAAATGCCTCTAAAGAGAGCTTCAGGGACTGGGAGTGTGGCTTAGTGGTAGAGTGCTTGCCTAGCTTGCATGAAGCCCTGGGTTTGATTCCTCAGTAGCACATACACAGAAAAAAACAGAAGTGGCGCTACGGCTCACGTGGTAGAGTATTAGCTTTGAGCAAAAGAAGCTCAGGGACAGTGCTCAGGCCCTGAGTTCAAGCACCACTTCCAGCTTTTTCTATTTATGTGTTACTGAGGAATCAAACCCAAGGGCTTCATGCATGCAAGGCAAGCACTCTGCCACTGACCACCTTCCCAGCCCCCCAGGACTTTTTGTAAGACATCTTATATTGTATATGAGAGAGGCATGAAACCTTTGGTTCCAAACCCTAATGACTTCTAATCTGTTTGCTTTGATTTTAGGAGAAGAACTCATTCCTCAACTACAATGTATCCTGTATCCTTACCATGCCTCAGTACATGAGACAGGGCTATGGCAAGATGCTCATTGATTTCAGTAAGTGAAACTGCTAAGTCTTATCAGTTCTACAAGGCAGAGATCCTTTTAGTGGTATTCATCATTTTGTCCTGTGATCTTTATAAATTATGGCATGTAGTGGTAATAAGTAAATAAACAAACAGTGGGGAAAATCTGAACTCTTGGGTCTGAATTGAACATTGATCATTCAATGAATGCAGGAGCCTGAATTGATGCTTAATAGGCAATGCTGACAATTACCATGTAAGCTCTATAAGATTGTCCTGATTTAAGACTTTTTTCAGCAGAGCACATACACACCTAATGCTTAAAATCTGTTCTTTTGATATGTGAGATTTCTCTTTCGTAAAGATATGTTTAGAGGTAATCCATATACCTGATAGAGGCTTTGGATAGTACACTGTACTCACTGAAGTTGATTTGTAAACTTTATTAGTAACGTTAATCATGACACAATTGTCATTAGATACACACATTTCCATCTGTCTTCAAATAAGATACCCTGTTGCAGTTCTCATGCTATGAATAGATGTCCTTTCTGTGGTCTGTTAATGCCTGTTTTTCTATGTTTTTTTTTTTTTTTAAATTTCTGTTGGTAGTTTAAAATAGTCTGGGCACAGGTGGCTCATGCCTGTAATACTAGCTACTCAGGAAGCTGAGATTGCAGTGCAAAGCCAGCCCAGCAGGAAACTCCGTGAAACTCTTACCGTCAATAAACTACTCAGAAAAAGCCAGAAGCAGAGCTGTGGCTCAAGTGGTAGAGTGCTAGCCTCAAACAGCTCAGGGACAGCACCCAGGCCTGAGTTCAAGCCCCAAGACCTGCACACACAAAAAATAGTGCTTAAATATTGTTCCTGAGTGCAAGAAGAAAGACTGGGCAAGGCACTGGTGGCTTACACCTGTAATTCTAGCTACTCATGAGGCTTAGATCCAAGGACCATGGTTTGAAGCCAGCTTTAGAGACTTATTTCCAATGAACTACCAAAAAGCCAGAAATGGAAGTATGACTCAAGAGATAGAACTCTTAACTTTGAGCAAAATAGCTATGGGACAAAGCTGAAGTTCTGAGTTCCAGCCTCTTTGCGGCACAAAATAAAAGGCTGACAAACCTATAGAACTTTCTACAGGTTATAGTGCTTTCTGGCTGTGAATATGACGTCACTGAACCAATAGAATGAATTAAATAAGGTGTTTTCAAAAAAGCACATAAAATGAGGTTATCCTGTACTTCCTTGAGAGTAGTTGTTTAGTGTTTGCAATTTCAATGGAACATAACTGCTCTGACTTAACAATCTACTCTAAGCTAGCCGCTGATGGCCTGTGCCTCTGTAATTCTAGCTACTCAGGCAGAAAAATTGGCAAGATTCCCATCTCTAACCAACACAAACAGGGCTAGAAGTGTAGCTCAACTAGTAGAATACCACTACTAGCTAGTTTTCTAAATTCGAGGCCAAGTACCAAGGGGAGAAAGATAAAGGAATCTTAAGCTGGTGTGGTGGTACACACCTAAAATTCTAGAACCTGAGGCTAAGCTGGAATATCAAGATTATAAGGGCTGGAAAGGTGGCTCAGTGGTAGAGTGCTTGCCTTGTATGCATGAGGCCCTGGGTTTGATTCCTCAGCATCACATAAGCAGGAAAAAGCTGGAAGTGGTGCTGTGGCTCAAGTGGTAGGGTACTAGCCTTGAGCTGAAGACCTGAGGGACAGCGCCCAGGCCCAGAGTTCAGGTCCCATGACCAACAAACAAAAAAGATTATAAGCTAACTTAAACCTACAAGACAAGAACTGCCTCGAACAACAAAGCTATGTTATGCAGTGAGATGGCTTCCTATTTCTGTTCCCCATCTACCTGTTCATATACCTACTAACCATACACTTACACAGAACCATTGTTAAAATTCCTAGTGAAGGTTTCCAGAGATTTTTCATGTCTGTTACAAGTAACTGCACATTCACAATCTTCCCCTTTTTATCCATATTATATTTAACAGTATATTGAATGACTGACCACTAATTGATACTGCAGACTTCTTTTTTTTTTTTTTTTTTTTTTTGTCGGTCGTAGGGTCTGAACTCTGGGCCTGGGTTCTGTCCCCCAGCTCTTCAGCTATAAACCAGCACTCTACCACTTGAGCCTCAGCCCCACTTCTGGCTTTTTCTGCTTATGTGGTGCTGAGGAATTGAACTGAGGGCCTCATGCATGCAAGGCAAGCACTCTACCACTGAGCCACCTTCCCAGCCCCCAGATTTCTTAAACCTTCCATGTTGGCACACTATTCTTAGCTATTAGGATGCGATTCAGTGTTGTTGGAAAAAGTCTGTGTTTGTTCTCTGGCAGGTTATTTGCTTTCCAAAGTAGAAGAAAAGGTTGGCTCCCCAGAACGTCCACTCTCTGATCTGGGGCTCATAAGCTATCGCAGTTACTGGAAAGAAGTGCTTCTCCGTTACCTGCATAATTTCCAAGGCAAAGAGATTTCTATCAAAGGTTGGTTTTTATCTCTTGTAAAAGGTGGTTAACCCCAGTAGATAGTCTTAACTTTTCCATTTGGCTCTGTTCCTGCTTTGTCACCTGCAAAGTTAATGCCTATTCTGTGTTCCTTCTGAATATGAGGAGGGAAGACCTCCTAAGTATTTTGACATACACAGGAGCCTCGATGAAAGATACATCTGTACATCTTGCTGGGTGCTAGTGGCTCATGCCTATAATCCTACTTGGGAGGCTGAGATATAAGGATTATGGCTCAAAGCCAGCCTGGGCAGGGAATGTCTGTGACTCTTATCTCCAGTTCACTACCAGAAAACTGGAAGTGGTGCTGTGGCTCAAGTGGTAGAGCACTAGCCTTGAGCAAAAGAGCTCAGGGACAGTGCCCAGGCCCTGAGTTCAAGCTCCACAAACGGAAGACACATCTCCTTTGAAAAGGTGGAAGAATTTAGTGTGGTCTATATTTGACCTTGATTTCTAAGGTTGCAAGAGTAGCTTCTTGATATAACATCTTAAGTACCAAAGATTCTGGTCCTTTTGGATTTCTCTAAGTGAAAGGAGGCCTTGGTTGGGGGTAATATCTATACTGTGACCCAATTTCAGTAACTCTTGTGTTTACAGAAATTAGCCAGGAGACAGCTGTGAATCCTGTGGACATCGTTAGCACTCTGCAAGCCCTTCAGATGCTTAAATATTGGAAAGGAAAACATCTGGTTTTAAAGAGACAGGTGAGGTTTTCACCAGTTGCTTGTTAGGTTAGGTGTCCTGGAAACTTAGCAGAGCCTTACCCTGCCACCCACAAAGTAATTCCTCTTCTTGGCGGGATTTGACTATATAAGCACCTTCCATTGGCCTCATTTCTTAAGCTGATAGGAAGAGCTCTATGACCTTACGTTACTAATCTCACTTATCTCCTACCTTGTCCTAATCAGGAAATTTTGGTAAGCTCCTGTCTCAGATTCTGATGACACATGTTAAGCAGCTTTCTGTTGTACAGCACTTCTGTTTTCTTAGGTTAGTGAAATGGCTGTCTGTAGAAGGGAGTCCTCAAAAATTCCGAGTTTGTGATAATGGTTTTAGATTGTTTGAATAGGTTCCATCTCATTTAATATGCCCACTTTAGGTAAATAATGATTTTTTTGTTCCCACTAAGGGCAAAGTAGGAAGACAAGGATTAGGTAGGAAAACAGTACAGATCAAAAGAATAATATCTTATATCTTAATATATTATTAAATTTGGCAATTCCTTCTCCGCTAATACTCATTTGTTCTCATTTTTTTTTCTAGGACCTGATTGATGAATGGATAGCCAAAGAGGCCAAAAGGTCCAACTCCAATAAAACTATGGATCCAAGCTGCTTAAAATGGACCCCTCCGAAAGGCACTTAAAGTGATCTATCATTCTGAGCCAGCGAACCCCAGCAGTAGGAATCCGTACCCTAGGGATCTGTCTGTCATTTCTGTTGTTCTTGTGATTGGCAAGTACAGTATCCTTTGGGAAGGCCATCCCCCTCAGGACTGTCCTGGCTCCGCCTTTTGTGTACACTGCAGACGCTGGTTCTGAGGAACTATTGTTTCGGCCTCAGTGAGGTTGCCTGGAGAGATCTGTATTAGACTCAAGTGCAGATCCCTCATAGCACTGACCCAAGGAGTTCTGTTATGGTACTGTACTTGTCCAGTCACTGGTTCCCTCCTCATGTCCTTTAGCCCCATGAGGTGTATCTTGTCCTCTGAACTTTGTACTCAAGCTTCTTCCCATCTGGTTACCAGATCTCTAGACATGGCTACCACCACAGGGACCCTTCTAGTTACTCCTTACACACGTATTTTGTGGAATGGTAGGGAAGAGGCAGCATTTATGAGTACGTGTGTTTGAGGAGTCCATTCACTTTGGATTTTGTCTTAAAACTTCTTTCTGCTATTTTTATGGAAAGACATTTTTGATCACCATTAGGCTGATCAGAGCCAAGTAATTCTGATGTTTCCCAGGGATTAATCTTTAAAATAGCACCTACTCCATCTGAATGAGATGGGGAGAGGAATAAGAGGTGGAGATTCTGCATTTTGATTTATGTTCTGTGGGCAATGTCTTGGTGGAAGGGAATTGGTAATTCTTGCTTCACCAGGAAATGTCTAGCAGTAAATGTCTTCTCTTATTCGCTGGCCCTTTTTATGTTTGCAGGTGCCAAAATAGTTTCGAGTTCTTTCATACTACATGTTCATTGGTTAATAATACTACAGAACCTTTTCACCAATCTGTACCAGTCTGGTATAAGATACCTACTTTTTCCTCATAAGTTGCACTGATTTTTGTCCAGAGCATCCTGGAGAAGTGGAAAGTGGTCTCAGCCCATGACTCAGCAAGGCAGAATGACCACCCTGCCACCGTTTGCTCATCTTTTCAACAGTGCCTCACCTTCCTCTAGGCTAAATGCTTCTGCCCCTCCAAGAACTCCTCCTCCGTTTCCTTTGTGGGATGTACCACCATTCTCCTAGTCTCTGGTCTCCTATTTTTGGTGGTGTTCAAGGAAAAGATGTTCCCTCTAATTTCTCCCTAGCCGGTTATAATCTGTTATCTTGGGGCAGCTTTTGATGTCTTAACATGTCGCCCTTCCCAACTTGGTCCCAGCACTGCTGTCTTCATGTGGCGCCCTCACCACAGTCCCAACTCTGGTCATTTGTGCCTTTCTCTTGTCATCTCTGTACACTACTTATATTCACTGTGGGTTGAGGGGAGCTGGTGTTAAGCATGTTCAGTGGAGGCTCCCCTCCAGTTTCAGTGTCACTGTTCAGAGTATCCAAAAGCAACTTTACTGGGGGTTTTCTTAAGGGGTAAGGCCTTTTACATGCTAAACCCTTCCCCACATGTGGTAGAATGTGCTCTCAGCATCTACTCAATAAAGCATGTTCTCTGCACATGTCTGATTCATCTGGAGTGCTCATTTATGTATGGAAAGATGCAGCTGCTGATAGCCCATTGAGGGTTTGTTTTCTCTAGCAGTGTTACACATTCTTTCATTGGATTCATCTTATGATTTTAGAGGCAAATGAATTATGGGGCAGGGGAGGACCACTAAATTCCTTTCTCCACAAGCATGTTCTCTAATAGTGAATTGTGTCACATCTAATTACACCCCTCTTCCAGTTTGTGTTTCTGGAAGTAACTTCATTTTCACTTCATCACTCAAAGGAGCACAGAAGCTGGGTATTTCCATCTCTTCTTAAGAAAGGAAAAGAGTAGTAATTGTTGGAGTGATTTTGCTCACAGACTGGAAGTTATAAGAACATAGCCTTAGCCGGGCGCTGGTGGCTCACGCCTGTAATCCTACCTACTCAGGAGGCTGAGATCTGAGGATCACGGTTCAAAGCCAGCCCGGGCAGGAGAGACCGTGAGACTCCTATCTCCAATAAACTACCAGAAAACCGGAAGTTGTGCTGTAGCTCAAGTGGTAGAGAACTTGCCTTGAGCTGAAGAGCTGAGGGACAGCACCCAAGCCCAGAGTTCAAGCCCCACGACCAACAAAAACAAAAAAACAAAAAAAACATAGCCTTGTGGGCAAACTTAAGAGTCCTCTGCAAGGCTGGAGTCTTAGTTGTGTAGGGCTTAGGGGAAAGATAGGGAAAGAAGTTTGAAAACCTGGTACTGGTGGCTCATGCTTGTAATCCTAGCTACTCAAGCTGAGAGCTGAGGATTGTGGTTTGAAGCCAGCCCAGGCAGCCAAGTCCATGAGACTCCAAATAGCCACCCCCAAACCAGAAGTGGAGCTGTAGCACAAAGTGGTAGAGCAAGCCGGGTGCTGGTGGCTCATGCCTGTAATCCTAGCTACTCAGGAGGCTGAGATCTGAGGATCATGATTCAAAGCCAGCCCGGGCAGGAAATTCCCTGTGGGACTCATCTCCAGTTAACCATAAGAAGACCAGAAGTGGTGCTGTGGCTCAAGTGATAGAGTGCTTGCCTCAGCTGAAAAGCTGAGGGACAGTCCCCAGCCCCAGAGTTCAATCCCCACGACCAACCAAAAAAAAAAAAAAGTGGTAGAGCACTAGCCATGTGCAAAAGAGCTCAGGGACAGTACCCAGACTGAGTTCAAGCCCCCCCCCCCCAAAAGAAAAAAACAACTTTAGGTAGAATAAAGACTCAAAGGGGTCCATCAGCTGCTGGACATTAATGAAAGTGAACTAAGTAACTCAGGAGCAGAAGACCCTAAGACCTTTGGGTTGGTGGCATGGCACAAGTGGTAGTGCACCACAGCCAATGAGCAAAAGTATGAGATACTCAGTTCAGGTCCTGGGTAGGCAGGGAAAGTGGGAGGTTTTTTTGGTGGGGGGGGTGGGAGGTCTGTTGTGGGGCTTGAGCTTATTCTGGGCCCTGTCTCTGAGCTCTTGCTCAAGGCTAGTCCCCACTTGAGCCATGGCTCCACTTCCAGCTTGAACACTAATTTTTCAGAAGGAAATCTCAGGGTTTCTCAGAAGGAGCTCAAGATGATGCATAAACAGTGAAGACAGAATACTCATTCTACTCTGACTCACTTGATACAATGCCTCCTTGCTACCACTGGCTTCCTCTGCTTTTTGATTCCTTGATGAGTAGTCATCCCTTCTAGTTAAGACAGATCTCTTTACAAGTAGCCATGTTTCTAGACGCTTTTATTGTGAAGAATATTAATGAAGTTGAAGGCTTTGAGATGAGTTGATTTTAGTTGATCTCAAGAAGCAACAAGTTGGGGACTACAGTTTGAAACAAGGAAACAAGATGTACCTCACTCTAGTACTGCTTCTGATTTAGGAACAAATTACTCCTTTGCATACATAGTTCCCTTCAGTTTTCCCAATACTGTAGGGAAAGAGCCTTTTTCAGATGAGAAAGAGTTGAGGCTCATGAAATCTCACTGCTGAGTCACAGCAACAGACAAGCCTTGCTTCTCTCTGCAGCCAACTCCCACACTTTGCTATCATGAGGGCTGGTCACCTGATGCCCTCTGTTGCTTTCCCATGTCTCACATGGGAATGGTGAATCATTCCGAGTAATTTTTAGCAATACAGTCCCCTGTAAATATCAAAATGATGCTTTGACTTGTGTTTAGCTTTTATTCCTGTTTTCAACAGGTTGCATGGCTGGGTTAGGAATAATCCAGAATGGAGTTGTCCACGTCAAGGACATGGGCAAGTTGGTTGACCCAGATCAAGGTTGGGTCTAGCATCTAAAACCAATGTACACAAACCACAGCTTTCTGGTTGGACGGACACATTCCTTCTAGAACATAAGAAAAATCAGTATTTAGATGTATAGATCATTTTCAAGGGTAGTTCTAGACCTACCTGGCTTTTTTCCTTTTAAAAGCAGTTGCCAGGTTGGGAACATGGCTTGGTGGTAGAGTGCTTGCCTAGCATGCATGAAGCCCTGGGTTCAATTCCTCAGTACCAATAAACAGAAAAAGCTGGAAATGGTGCTGTGTCTTAAAGTGGTAAAGTGCTAGCCTTGAGCAAAAAGAAGTTCAGGGACAGTGCCCAGGCCCTGAGTTCAGTCCCCAGGACTGGCAATAAATAAATTGGAATACCTCTGCTAAAAGCATGTGATGTGTGCTAGGAACTCTAGATTTGGATCTTAACTGGTTTTATTCTGGCACTTTTGGCCACAAACTTGTGTATGACTGCTTCTTCCAGACCGTTTCCTGCTGATGGGGGCAGTGTAATTACTCACTTCCCTTGTGGTGTCTTCAGCGATGCCAATGAATGTCACTAAGCAAGAAATAGGATTGCCCAGAGGTAAAAAATGCCCCTGGGATCAAAACATCAGTTTGTCTCTTCCTTCTTGTGTAATACATTGCAATGCAAGTCATGCTGCCACCATTTAAGGGCTTGAGAGTTTGTTTACTTGTGCTGTTCCTCAGGTTGGCGCCAAGTCTTCTTCCCAGTGTTCTAGTGAGATAGAGACCTTCATCCTTGTCAAATCAGTCTTTTTCTTTTTCTTTTTTCTTTTTGCTTTCGGTACTATTTAAATAGGGTCTCACAATTATGGGGTGGAGGGGAGTGTCTAACCTGACAATGATCCTCACATTTATGCTTCCCTTTCTAGTGGTGATGACAGGACCAAGCCACTGCACCTAACTTTATTCATGTCTTTTTTTTTTTTTTTGGTCAGTTGTGGGGCTTGAACTCTGGGCCAGGCACTGTCCCTCAGCTCTTTAGCTCAAGGCAAGCGCTCTACCACTTGAGCCACAGCGTCACCTCCGGCTTTTTCTGTTTATGTGGTTCTGAGGAATTGAACCTGGGGCCTCATGCATGCAAAGCAAACACTCTACCACTGAGCCACCTTCCCAGCCCAAATCAGTCTTAATTCTTGAGTATGCTTTTCTGAAAACCTACTTCATATTTGCTGCATTCCAAAGTTATTTGACACTCTGCTATAGAGGTATGGTTGTTATCCTGTTCTTAGATGGGTGCTGCTGCTTCTAGTAAGGGGTCCTCTTTTCCTTTTTATGAAATGATCATTCTGGCAACTTCCATATTACTTGGAAACAAACTGACATGTTTCTATACCAGAAGCTTGGGCTAACTCCCAATCCAGGTATGAGTAGAACCAGGTGCTCCAACTGGATCTTCAGAAACTCTTGGGTTTTACTTGAGATTCTTTTTTTTTTTTTGGGTCCAGTCGTAGGGCCTGAACTCTGGGCCTGGGCGCTGTCCCTCAGCTCTTCAGCTCAAGGCTAGCGCTCTACCACTTGAGCCACAGCGCCACTTCTGGCTTTTTTTCTTTTTGCTTATATGGTGCTGAGGAATCGAACCCAGGGCCTCAGGCATGCAAGGCAAGCGCTTTACCACTGAGCCACCTTCCCAGCCCCTTACTTGAGATTCTTGAAGGATTTTTGTTTTGCTTTTTGTTTTGATTAGTCCTGGGACTTAAACTCAGGGCCTGGGTACTGTGCCTGAGTTCATTTGCTCAAGGCTACTGCTCTACCACTTTGAATCACTGCTCTACTTCCAGTTTTCCTGTTTTTCATTGGAGGTAAGAGTTTTCAGACTTTTCTGCCCAGACTGGATTCGAAGCTGTATACTCAGATCACAGTTTCCTTGAGTAGCTAGGATTATAGGTATGAACCACCAGCACCCAACCTTAAGCTACTTGAAAGGTTTAAGGTATGTTTTTATGTTATTTAATACATAGAAATGAGTGAGACAGGGAGACCTGTGAAACTAGGGAAGGCCCTGTAGTTTCCATTAACTGCTTGAGCAGGCTTGCCTTCTTGTGCAGTCCCTTTAGGACATCACAGCTGCAAAAATAAGGCCTTTGCTTGGCTTCAAAATTCTTAGCTGGCACTGAAAGTGGATTAGGAAAAACCAACAATGTCCTACCATCAAGACGTGCCATCGCTTCCCTGCTCAAGAATTCATGTGGCTTTACATTGCGCATTGGGTTACATTCTTGTTTGTGCTGGCCTCTGAGTCATCCCTTAAGCTGACTCAGCCCACATAGCTTTCATCAGCCCCTTACACATGCCCTCAAGTGTACAGTTGTGTCAGTCTTCTCCGAATTTACTGGGAAAGCATCCATTTCAGCATTCTCCAAATGTTCCATTAACTACAAAAGTATGAGCAAAAGGGTACGATGGTCAAGTAAATTTGGAAAACACTGAGTTAAATAAAAGTTAAAAGCCGGGCTCTGGTGGCTTACACCTATAATCCTAGCTAATCAGGAGGCTGAGATCTGAGGATCACAGTTCAAAGCCAGCTGGGGCAGGAAAGTCCCTGAGACTTATATTTCCAGTTAACCACCAGAAAATGAGAAGTGACACTGTGGCTCAAGTGGTAGAGCGCTTGCCTTCAGCTGAAGAGCTGAGGGACAGCACCCAGGCCCAGAGTTCAAGACCCATGACCGACAAAAGTTAAATACCATTGTTTCTTCCAAGCTTCTCAAAACCTTTGGTAGGCTGGTGGCCATTGGGGTTTTCTGTTTATTATTTTATTTTTATTTTGTCAGTCATGGGGCTTGAACTCTGGGCCTGAGTGCTGTCCCTCAGCTCTTCAGCTCAAGGCGAGCGCTCTACCACTTGAGCCACAGTGCCACTTCCGCCATTGGGGTTTTCTAAGAGAGAGAGGATGTCACATTTCCTAAGTTGATCTGGAAGGATCCTCTTGGGGGTTGGGTCTTTGGAAATGTGCTACCCAGATAAACCCAGCTAAGAAGTGCCAGGAGTGGGAATGTTTAGTCAAACCATCCTGCACCAAATCCCTGCTCTTCCCTCTCCTATATGGCTTTGAACCTCCCAGATTTCAAATGTGAGACTAAAGTCTAAACACTTTGCTGGCTGGGTGACCACAGTGAACCCTTGGAACCACAGCCATGAATGGGTGCTCCTCCCATCACAGCTGGGACACAGGCCTGCACCACCATGCCCAGTTTCTGAAAGGCCTCTGGGAATGATGGAAGTTGCAAGGATTGATTAGCTTGTGTAATATCTGAGAATCAGTCAGTTAACAAATATGAGTTTCATTAAGCCCTGGGAAACAAGTAGTGACATACAAATGACAAGCAATCTGGCACTTTGAATTTGAACTATGCAGGTGCTATACCACTTGAATCATACCTCCAGACCTTTCTTGCTCTCTAGGTGTTTCTTAGGTAGGATCTTGTGCTTCTTGCTCAGGGCAGCCTCAGACAGTGATGCTACCTATGCCTGTCACTTTGCTGGGGTTTCAGACACGTGCCAGCACATTTAGGCAATACATACTTTAATTGTGGTTAATGCACTGTAAGAAAGGGACAAAAGCTGTGGCACACCTGTAACCTAGCTACTCAGGAGGCTGAGATCTGAGGATCGCGGTTCAAAGCCAGCCCGGGCAGGAAAGACCGTGAGACTCCTATCTCCAATAAACCACCAGAAAACCGGAAGTGGCGCTGTAGCTCAAGTGGTAGAGCGCTCCCCTTGAGCTGAAGAGCTGAGGGACAGCGCCCAGGCCCAGAGTTCAAGCCCCATGACCGACAAAAAAAAAAAAAAAGTTAAAAAATATATCCTGGGCTGGGGATGTAGCTTAGTGGTAGAGTGCTTGCCTAGCATGCATGAAGCCCTGGGTTCGATACCTCAGTACCATATATACAGAAAAAGTCAGAAGTAAGTTTGTGGCTCAAGTGGTAGAACGCTAGCCTTGAACACAGAGAGGCTCAAGGACAGGACCCAGGCCCTGAATTCAAACCCCAAAACTGGCAAAAAATAAAAAATATATGTCCTTCTTGCTTATCCAAGGATTGCATTAGATTGGCTAACAAGGGATAGATGGGATCCAATTGCCCACTTTAAGATCATGGTGGAGGGGCTGGGAAGGTGGCTCAGTGGTAGAGCGCTTGCCTTGCATGCCTGAGGCCCTGGGTTCGATTCCTCAGCACCACATAAACAAAAAGAAAAAAAGCTGGAAGTGGCCCTGTGGCTCAAGTGGTAGAGCGCTAGCCTTGAGCTGAAGAGCTGAGGGACAGCGCCCAGGCCCAGAGTTCAAGCCCCACGACCAACAAAAAAAAAAAAAAGAGCATTAGTGCTTCTGTGACAGTTTCTATGACAATTTCTAACCTTGAGCTCGGGGCCTGGGCGCTGTCCCTCAGCTCTTTAGCTCAAGGTTAGTGCTCTACCACTTGAGCCACAGCACCACTTCCAGTTTTCTGGTGGTTTATTGGACTTTCCTGCCCAAGTTGTCTTTGAACCATGATACTCAGATCTCAACCTCCTGAGTAGCTAGGAATACAGGCATGAGCCACTGGTGCCTGTCTTCTGCCTGTCATCTTTACCTATGTCTTAAACTCTTTACCTACCCAAGGACAGACCCAGGCTTGTAGTCTTTCTCTTTGCAACTTTGAAAAAGGCCCTTTGGATTGATATCCCACCTTCCACCCTGCATAACAAAGGAAGCCAATCACTGGTCATTCATTTATTGAGCCCCATACTGGGTGCTGGGGATGGGTTACAGAGTATATGAGGCTCATGTTGGTAGCACACTGAGCTGGAGCCTCAGTGCAAGGGAGGGCAGGCTCACTCTAGCTGTCCACAGGCTAACAATGTATTTGTGCACCGTAAGTGTTTGACACTGGCTGAGTCCTAGAAGAAAGGCATTGAATTTCTCCAGTACAGGCCTGACATCTGATGCTTGGGTTGACACATGGAAGATGGAGTTGGCCTGCAGCTGATCAGCTGTGACATCCAGTGCAGCGAGGGTGTGCAGCCTCCTCTGGGAAGCCTTCTCTGGGACTCTCTGAACCCTGGCTGTCCTCTGCACCTAGGGAGAGTTCTTTAGGTGACTGGTGGTTAAGGAGTCTTATCTGCCTTCCCACCTGTCCCCGCTCCTGTTTCTCCTGGCTGTAAGCATCTAGAGTGATGGAATTATAGGTTCATCTGCTAGATCGTCAATTATTCAGTCATAAGTGTCTCCATAGCAGGGACAAAGCCCACCCTGTTGTCCTTTCTGCAAAAGGGGAGTGGAATTCCACAGTCCCCAATACCCTCTGGAGACATGGGAGGTACTTTAGTCCAGTAGACTGGAGCTTTAGCTTTCAGTCCTGCTCTGTGGGCAGCTTTGATTGATCCAAAAAGCTGGAAAGTACTTAGTGCTCTTGGCTCACACTTATGATCCTAGCTACTCAGGGAGCTGAGATCTGGGAACGGGGTTCAAAACCAGAGCAGGAAGGTCCACGAGACTCCAATTAACTAGAAAAAAAAAAAAAAAGCTGTGCTGGGTGCTAGTGGCTCACACCTGAATCCTAGCTACTCAGGAGGCTGCGATCTGAGGATCATGGTTCAAAGCCAACCCCAGCAGAACAGACCCTGTGAGACTCTTATCTCCAATTAACTACTCAAAAACAGAAAGTGGAACTATGGCTCAAAGTGGTAGCCTCAAGCAAAAGAGCTCAGGGACAGTGCCCAGACCCTGAGTTCAAACCTTATGACTGATAGAGAGAGAGAGAGCTGGAGCTCAGCTGGTAGAGCACTTAAGTGAAAAAGCAAAGGAATAACACCCAGGCTCCTGAGTTCAATGCATAAAAATTTAAAAAATTAAAAAGCTTTCTATTTACACCATGACTGGAGGAGCATGCGTGTGTGCTTGATATTAGGTGACTTCCAGGGCCTTTTGAAAGAAATGACTCAAAATAACTTTGAGAAAATTAGTCTGTTCCCATCTTTCTTAGCAATATCAGTATTGGAATTAGCAGAAGTTCTAGGGAGAAGAGGCTAGACAGGAAGGAAAGTAGTCTGGAAGGCAGCTTGACTAGGGTAGACCACTGGCATACCTGCTGCCCTCCTCCTTGCATCCTCTCACTAATCCTGAGCCTGGTCCACTTAAATTGATACCTAACCTTGGGAACCATGGGGATGCAGCTCTGTCTGGGGGCATTAACTGGTAACTTCTTAGACTATCACTTATCCCAGAGGCATGCACACTTAAAGATAATCGTAGAAGGGAAAGAATCTCTTAAGACTTAGGGGTTGACCATCTAAGGATCTTGTCTAGGATTTTATACACAGTGAGGGAATAAGAGAATATGTCAAGGTCTGGAAACCTCATTGTCCTCTGGATCAGCTGGCTCTGAGGTGTGGGGAACAGGTGCCCAGCACAGTAGACATGGGCAAGGTGCAGCTTTAGATCAGCAGAGGCCCACCTACTACCTCCTCCTGTGGGCACTTCCCTTTGATGTTGCGTGGGAGTCTGTTCTGTCTGATGGCAGCAGAGCATCTAGTTGCTTTCCCATGATGCCCTTGCTGCCCACTAGAGGCTCTTGCCCACCTTCTATGGATGGTCCTGTCCCCCACAGAAGGCCCTGAATCATTTATCCCAAATATACTCCAGTGAGAGAGAAAAGGTAGAGAACAGAAAGGCAGCAAAGGGAGGCTATCTTGGAAAGCATGGAAAGGCAAGGCCAACCTGGGGCCTGGCATATGGAGATACTTTTTCAATTGTCCTCAGAGTTGTGGAAACACCTTGGATTGGTCCATTCATTCATAGACTTGGTCGTTCCTCCTCCATTCTCATCTCTTTTTCCTTCCACAAACATCTAGTGGTGTTTCTTATGGACAGAAAAACTGCCCTGAGTTTTTGGGATAGACCTGGTGTCTATCCGTGGGAAGTTTCCAGGCTTGGGACAGCAGCTGTGTGAGCCAGCAGGACAGTGTTGTACAGTGTGCTAGCGAGAGCATTGTGCCCAGGCCATGGAGATGATGTCTGTGCAGGCAGGGCAGGGAGGAGAGCTCTTAGAGGTAAGGTCAAGATGAAGTCAGTTAGGGTAAAGGGCATGAGAGGCAGTGCTTGATCCTTAGCACACAAGGGTCATGAAAAATGAGGACACATTAGGCATGGGTTCTTTCTCTCCCTCCTTCCTTCCTTCCTTCTTTCCTGAGGCTTGACCTCAGGACCTGAGTGCTGTCCCTGAGCTTTTTCACTCAAAGCTAGCACTCTATAACGTTTTTTTTTTTTTTTTTTTGTCATGGGGCCTGGGTGCTGTCCCTCAGCTCTTTAGTGCAAGGCTAGCACTCTACCACAGCGCCACTTCTGGCTTTTTTTTTCTTCTGCTTATATGGTGCTGAGGAATCGAACCGAGGACCTCATGCATGCGAGGCAAGCACTCTACCACTGAGCCACCTTCCCAGCCCAACTCAAGGTAATTTTGAAACTGCAGAACTAGCTTCAGCCTTGCCTCCTCTTTCCATTACAGGCACGCGCTAGACATGCATAGTCCGTCCTCTAAGGAAACAATCAGAAAGACCAGGGTATGTACGGTCAAGCCTCTCTTACCCTACCCTTCATCTAGCCCAGTAATGCCAGCCAGCTGTGTCCCTAGCCACCTGCCTGGTTTGTTAGTAGCTGGGATAGCCATACCCTCCTCAGGGGGGCCTGGTGACACTCACCTGTTCTTCCCTCTGGCTGGATCGAGGGTATTCCTAGGAGAAGGAGAGAGAAGAAATGAGAATGTCACCACTTCCCCTGGGGGCTTGGTGAGGTGGGGGTGGGGTTTTCATAGGACCTCTGGTCATTCTCTGTTGTCCTTGGGTGGCGTTGGGGATGTGTTCAATAGGAGCCAGGAGGGAGCACTGGGGTTCTTTGGGAAAGCACTTAAGCTATTGCTGCCTCAGTCCCTGCTAGGCAGAGATGTTGCTGTGGAGATCTGAGCAGGTATGAGCATCTGTCTTGCTCAAGAAATCTTTTCTTGTCCACCACTCTGAATGGGTTGTTGGGTTTGTAAGAAACTGTGCAATGGCTCAGTCCCAAACTCATTTTGTGGAAGAAAAAACAAAGACCAAAAGGCTAGCGCTCTACCACTCCAAGAGGTAGAGCACTAGCCTTGAACAAAGAGCTCAGGAACAGCACTCAGGCCCCTGAGTTCAAGCTCCACAACCAACAAAAAGAAAAAGAAAAAAAAAAAAGGCCAAAAATGTTTAGTCACAAGTTTGTTTTCTCTAAATGTATATGCACATTTTATTGAACAGTCCTTAAATGCATGCTTAGTATTTCATTATTATTCATTTATTTTGTGATGGTACCAGGGCTTGAACTCAGGGCCTGGGCACTCTCTGTTAGCTTTTTTGCTCAAGGCTAACATTCTACTACTTGACCAACACCTCCATTTATGGCTCTATGGCTCTTTGTAATTAACCAGAGATGTGGACTTCCCTGTCCAGGCTAGCTTTGAGACAAGATCCTTAGATCTCAGCCTCCTGAGTAGCTAGGAATATAAGCACGCAATGGCCAGTGGCCATTGTCAGTGGCTCATGCTTGTAATCCTAGCTATTACAATATCATATCTACTTGACAGACTTCCTGACTTGAGACTATTAATCAAAGGAATGTGTGTTTCTGACTTCAATGGATATGGCTAAGGTGTCCTCCAAATGGACTATGAATAGCTACAGGTTCCTCACCCCTCACTAACACTGAGCTTAGTCACCTAAGAAAATAAAATGTTAGCCTGGCACTGGTGGTTCACACCTGTAATCCTCTCAGGAGGCTGAGATCTGAAGATTGTGGTTCAAAGCCAGCCTGGGCAGAAAATCTGTGAGCCTCTTTTTTTTTTTTAGTCATGGGACTTGAACTCTGGGCCTGAGTGCTATCCCTCAGCTCTTGGGCTCAAGGCTAGTGCTCTACAACTTGAGCCACATCGCCACTTCCAGGGATAAGTGTTTCACGGCCTTTCCTGCCTGGGCTTTGAACTGTGATCCTCATATCTCAGTCTCCTGAGTAGCTAGGATTACAGGAGTGGGCCACCAGTGCCTGGCATGTGAGACTCTTCTCTCCAGTTATCCACCAGAAAATCAGAAGTGGAGCTATGGCTCAAAGTGGTAGAGTGCTAACATAGAGCAAAAGAGTTCAAGGATGGTGCGCAGGTCCTGAGTTCAAGCCCCATGGCCAAAAAAAAAAAAAAATGTTAGCCAGGTGCTATAATCTTTGCTACCCAGGAGGCCCAGTCCTGAGGATTGTAGTTCAAAGCCAGCCTGGGCAGGAAAGTCCATGACAGTCTGATCTTCAATTAACCACCAAAAAGTTAGAAGTGAAGCTATGGGTCTTGAACCCAGGCCCTGAGTTCAAGCCCCAAGACAGGCAACAAAGAGAAAACAATTTTCTACCTAGCCTGTTTCCTCCCTGTCCTCCCAGGACAGGACTACCTCATTGAAAATGGAAACACAGAATTTTAATAACATTCTGGTTGGGCCGCACAGAACCAACTAGAAAGCTTTGCTTATGGCTTTGCTCACATCTACACGGGGACTTCTAGCTTCACTCACCAAAATCACCCAGGTACAAGTAGACAAGGTCACCAACCAAGATGCAAAGCATTGGCTCTACCTTCAGGTGCCCAGCTCCTCAGATGCCTACAAAAGGCCTCTGTTGTCATTATTAATGCATCTTGGTTAGATGGTGTTGAGAGCGACCTCTACTGGCTTGGAGTAACTGCTCTCAGCTCGTGGGCATCAATCTAGATCCTCTGCTTAGTGTTGCAGCTCCTGCTGCCTTCCTCACTCACCTTTCACTCTCTTTCCCATGAGCCCAAAGAACTGTCTGTTCTTGCTTCTCTTTGCCTTCTGCAGCTGGAGTTGAATGCTGGGACCAGCACCTCCCTAAAGAAGCAAAGAGGTAGTGTTAGAATAGAGAGAGGCTGCCAGGGGACTAAGCAATAATCATCTCAACAGTAGCTCACAGTCATTGGACATTGCTCTGTGCTGGCACTGGGCACTCTTTTTTTCTATTTCACACCATATTATGCATAGTTACTAGCTAACATTTTATCTCCTATAGTCTTGACACTGTTCTGTGTACTTTACTATAGTAACTCACTTGATCCTTACCAAAACCCTATGAAAATAAAACCCAATACAATTACTGTCACCATTTGACAGACAGAAATATAGAGAGATGAACATGTCCCAAGTCATCCAGCTAAGCAGTGAGAGATACAGCCAGCACTTGAACCCAGGGCCTCTGGACCAAAGGCTGAGCTCTTGGGCACTACGGTTATAATCTTACTCTTTCCATGTCCACAACCACGATCAGGGAGAGAGACAAGGATCTCTATCTATTTTCCAAATGTGGAAACAGAGGAGATGGTTTATTTGTCCAAGTTCACAGAAGTAGCTGGATCAGGATTCAAAAGTCTGCCTCAGCAGGGAGCCAGTGGCTCACACCTGTAATCCTAGCTACTCAGGAAGCTAAGATCTGAGGATCACAGTTAAAGCCAGATGGTCAGGAAAGTCTGTGAGACTATCTCCAATGAACCACCAGAAAACTGGAAGTGGTGCTGTAGCTAAAAGTGGTAGAGTGTTAGCCTCAAGAAGAGCTCAGGGACAGCATTAGCGAAATGAGTTCCCTTCTCAGAGCTTAGTCCACTCCTTTCCCTTTCCACAGCTTAGCATGCTCCCTTCCTAGGCAACACTAGGCCCACGTAGTAAAAGCAGTAAATAATTAGCCTCCAACCCCCTCTACTTTGGGATGGCAATTCTCTGGGGCAGCTACCACCATATAAGGCAACAGGAGCCCCTTAGAGTGACTTTCAGGTCTGGGAAGTTGTAGGACCTTTATCTACTATTTGGACAGCAGCCAGAAATCCTAGTCCACCATGATGAAGCCCCTGGCCCACATGTCCACCCCAGGGTTTCTGCCTCCTAGCCCATTCTAGCCCCTCCTAAGCCTCCTAGGTTATGTAGCTCACCTCAGACAATAGTCAGTGCTTCTTCTCACTTCTCCCTTGTGAGAAGGAGTCTTGCCCGCCCCTTTCCAGACAATAAACCTTTCTTTGTTCTCTGTACCTGGATGTCTGCATGGTTCTCTGGCAAAGTCTAATTTACCCTACCAGACCGCACCCAGGCCTTGAGTTCACAACTGACCCCCCCCCCAAAAAAAAAAAAAAATCTACCCCAGAGCCCATGTGATTCACCTTAGGAAATGTTTCCAACACAGACAATGAGGGGTGATCACCACTGAACTCAAAGGTTTCCCCTTCCTGCCCCCCACTCTAATTCTGGCTCCTCCTGTGTTCCCCAGGTTCTTGTCCCTAGAGTCTGGTCTCTCAGGAGAATCATGGCTGTGATCTGGGGTAGAGCTCTTGCTTTGGACAGAGATTTTTTGTTGTTGTTGAGTAGAGCTCTTGCTTTAGACAGAGATTTTTTTGTTGTTGTTGGTCATGGGGCCTGAACTCTGGGTGCTGTCCCTGAGCTCTTAAGCTCAAGGCTAGCACTCTACTACTTGAGCCACAGCGCCACTTCCGGCTTTTTCTGCTTATGTGGTGCTGAGGAATCGAACCCAGGGCCACAAGCACTCTACCAATGAGCCACCTTCCCAGTCCCTGGACAAGGACTTTTTCATCCTTGAGTTAAGGTTAAACATCCTGACCTAAGGGCAGTGGATTTAAGTTCCCACTCCTCCATTAGCTCTGTGGTCTTGGCCAAAGCTCTCTCACAGTGTCTTGGGACACTGAAGAGAGAGTCTAGGGCAGTGGCGATGGGGGTGGGGAAAGGGATGGAAATGGGGTGGGTCTCCTTTTCCAGCAAGGCTGAAGACAGGTAAACAGCTCTGGAGACATGCAAGTTCCAGCCCAGGGCTGGGATGAATCAGGGACTTTCTTTATGTTTCCTCAGTGACGGGGCTAGGCTCCTGAGGCCCACAGTGATGACCCGTGTGCCCTTTATCAGTTGTCTCATCCCAACTTTCGGGAGTGCATTGTTCTCTAAGCCTTGGACTAATTCAGTCACTTCTAATTTGTCTCCTCCCAGGGATGTCAATGGCTGTCTCTGGCTGGAGTCTCCCAGCCTGGCCAGAAACCAGAAAAGTCTCTTTGGAGATTTAGACCCATTTCTGAAAAGCTCATGAAAACCACTTTGCCTTGGTAAGAGGCAGCCTTCAAATGCAAGTTAGAGAGAATGGCCCTTTATGAATTAAAATAGGACTGACCCTTTTCTCACCCACCAGCTTTTTGCCGGGGTAGGAGGTGGGGGAGTAGGGAGGAGTAGAATGTGTCTGCTCCCTTTCACTTGGCAAGGATTCCTGCCCCCCACCCAAACCCTCCATATACCAAAGCCCCAGCCAAAGCCCCGAAGCCCAGGATGACTGCAGATGGGAGCCTTGGAAGTGATCAGATCACCCTGAAAGTGCCTCTCTTCTTCCACCACCTTTGTAGTAATACATAGCATTATTCACAGTGTAAGTTCTACCCACCTGCTAACCTAGCCTCCCCTCCTGCCTTCCAAACCACAAGTCTTGGGATGCAGAGAGAAGCTGAAGGAGAGTAAAAGGAGAAAGGATTGTTGCCCACTGCAGGATGAGCTACTGGCTGTTGATGCCACTTCCCAAACATCAAGCTCCTCATCACACCAGCCAGCAGAGCTTCTCAAAGCTCAGCCAGATACCCAGATATTTGGCATTGACTGCTAGCTTACAGCTCCAGAAAGAGCTTTGGGATCATCTTTTCTCTCCCTGAATGTTGCAGGTAAGGAAACAGAGGCCTAGGGAGCAGCAGGAGTTGGTGGAAAGGCTTGAACCTGGATCTCCCAGGCCCTACTGCCTTCTCCCCACTGACATGTCCATACTAGAAACCCACCAGGAAGGGCTGTCCATGGTTCTTCCTGTAAAGAAAGCTCCAAGGTCAAGGTCTTCGTGCCAGTGGTCAGATACATCAGATATCAGGGTGGGGTCTCCCTGATGACTTGCACTCAGGGATTCCATAGCAGAGACCACTACCAAACCAGTGTTTGTCAGGAGATAAGCCTTCCTACATGTGATAAGCAATAGTGATCTTGCTCTGAGTTAAAGCCCCCATAGGAAACTCTGGAAAAATCTCTAATGTATAGATACACAGAAGCAGAGCTTGGACAAGATGTGTGTGTATCTGTGTGTCTGTGTCTCTGTATGTGTGTTTGATAGTACTGGTGTTTGAACTCAGGGACTCATACCTGCTCCAGGTAAGCACTCTACCACTTGAGCCACACTTCCAATCCTAGTTTTTTACTGGTTAAGTGGAAATAAGTCTTTCTAGGTTTGTCTGCTTTGGCTGGCTTTGAGCTGAGATCCTCAGATCTCAGCCTGAATAGCTAGGTGTGAGCCACAGCAGCCAGTAATAGTTGTGCTTTTGAAGCTGTGCTTCAACTTTTTTGATTTCTTTGTGCCTCAGTTTCCTTGTCTCTGATATGGGGATGATAATGGTACCACAGCCATGAGGTTGAAATGAAGGTAAAATGAGTTAATGATTAAAAAGCATTTAGGACAGTACCAGGAACATAGCATAGTTAAATAAGTGTTTCCTCTCTCTCTCTTTCTCTCTCTCTGCATATACCTTTGATAATCTGGCGCTCATATCTGGAATCTCCCCACAGAAGGACTCAGCCAACTTGCCTTGGTTTTGCAGTACACAGCCTGCTCTCCTAGCAGCCCTGGGAGAGATCTTCTACCCCTCCACCACGGGTCATCCCCCGCCCTCTCCCCAAAGGTACCTCTAGAGTCACGGTTATCAAGGGCTCTGCTTCTGTGTTGAGTATCAGTTTCTGTCCACTGTCTTTTGCCATGATGCACACAGGCAGCACCATCAGGAAGACCAGGGTGAGGCAGGGCAGCATGGCGAGATGGCTCTATTGGGGGCCTGCTTGAAGATGCCTCCTCCAGCAGGTTCTGTCTCCCTTTTGGTGGCTTGAGAGTCGGTAGTAGGTAGGAAGCTCTCTGTCCTCCACACCTTCAGTTCTTCTGCTTCAACCCTTCAGCTTATCTGAGCCCTGAGCCAAATCCTGTGGCTCTCACCTCCCTCCCTGGCCAGTGACACCTGGAGCTGCTCCAGAGGAAGGACTGGACCTCCCACAGCCGCCCCAACACCTAATCTCAGCTAGGGCTTAACACTCTGATGCAATACTCCCTTTCCCTGGATTCTCTCCCAGGCAGGTGTACAAAGGCACACTGTGTGGGGCCTGGAGCTCCCTGGGAGTAGGGAAGGGAAAGGGGACTGTGTGGTTTCTCTTTCTGTACTCTCCCCAGGATTCCACCTCTTCCCTTCTCTTCCCCTTTCTCCTCTTTTTCTTCATTTTCCCCAAACCCCCAATCATAGTCTGTGTGTGTGTGTGTGTGTGTTTAAAGAATATGTCTTGAAAACAAGGCACTGGTGGCTCATGCCTGCAATCCTAGCTACTCAAGAGGCTGAGATCTGAGGGTTGAAGTTTGAAGCTAACCTGGGCAGGAAAGACCATGAGACTCTTATCTCCAATTAAAAAAAAAAAAAAAAAGAATCAGAAGTAGAGCTATGGCTCAAGTGGTAGAACACCAGCCTTGAGTGAAAAAGCTAAGGGACAGCCCCCAGACCCTAAGTTCAAACCTCGGTACTGACATACACCCCACCTACATACCATACACATTAAAAAAACAACGCACAAAAACAAAAAACAAGCAAACGAATGTATCATGAGCCAGACGTGGTAGGGCATGTCTATAATCCCAGTACTTGGCGACTGAAGCAGAAAGATTACAAGTTCATGGTGAGTCTAGACTACATAGAGATGGAGAGAAAGAAAGGAATGGGGTAGGGGAAGAGGAAAGAAGGGAAGGAGAGAGAGACAGATCTTGCTCGAGGAGAGAGAATGAATTGCTTTAAGAAAAGAGGCTCCTGGGCTGGGAAGTTGGCTCAGTGGTAGAGCGCTTTGCCTTGCATGCCTGAGGCCCTGGGTTCGATTCCTCAGCACCACATAAGCAAAAAGAAAAAAGCCGGAAGTGGCTCTGTGGCTCAAGCGGTAGAGCGCTAGCTTTGAGCTGAAGAGCTGAGAGACAGTGCTCAGGCCCAGAGTTCAGGCTCCAGGACCGGACCCCCCCCCAAAAAAAAAAGAAAAAAGAAAAAAAAAAGAAAAGAGGCTCCAAAGCTTGGCGCCGGTGACTCATGTCTGTAATCCTAGCTACTCAGGAGGCTGAGATCTGAGGATCACGGTTCAAAGCCAGCCTGGGCAGCAAAGTCCATGAGACTCTTATCTCCAATAAAGCACTAGAAAACTGGAAGTGGCGCTGTGGCTCAAGCTGTAAAGCGCTCGCCTTGAGCTGAAGAGCGCAGGGACAGTGCCCAAGCCCACAGTTCAAGCCCCATGACCGACCAAAAAGAAAAAGGAAAAAAAAAAAAAAGAAAAGAGGCTCCTTGCAAGTAAGAACTGGGATTTACCAGGGAAATGGCCTCCTACCTCAAATGTCATTGACCCTAAGCTATCTTTCCACTGTTGTCAAAATGATTGCTCTACATCCCTAATGTTGTCTTGTTTGTTTTCAGCCTTCCAATGTCTCCCAGTAGCCTTGACATACGTGCTAAATTCCCTAGCTTAGCATTCAATCCTTGTCTGTCTAGGTCCATGCTTTGCCTACCCATCCACTTATCCATCTGTCTGTCATCCATCCACTACTCCAGAACAAAGGGGTTTGTGGTCAGAGACCTGAATTCTACTTCTAGCCCATCATGGAATAGCTGGGTGAAATCTGGCACATTATTTAGCCCCTCAACCCCTTATAGCCCTCATGGGTGGGACAGAATTGGTAACAACATTGTTTCAGAGTTGGAAGATGACATGGACTAATGCATGTGAAGCACTTAGCACAGTGGGTAGTGGTGAATATTTAATGCCCGTTAACTATAATTATTACTATTACTGACACTTGTCTCGCCAAAGATGACTAAAACATTGTCCCTGTTCTACAGCCTCACTCAGTACAGGTAAGGAGATCTCTGGTTGGCAGATAGCCAGCTCTAGTTTGGCATATGGCAGCATTGAGGGGGAGAGCAAGGGCAGGGAGTGCCTGCCTTCCCAGTGTGCCCGTCATGCTCACCCCAAACCACTTCACCACCTGCTCCTGAGACAAGCCTCCATTTCCTGCCCTCATCATTTTGCCTCACCCTCTACTTTCCTTTCCATATGGCAAACTTGTACCCATCCTTGAAGTTTGTTCACCTCTTTGCTAGAATTAATCTGTATCTACTCCTGTCTCCAGCAGGAGTTAATTGACATTTCAATCTCTGTGGCTATCCCTGGGCTGCTTCGAGATCCCTGAGCTATACAGCCTTAGTTCAAGATAGCACACAGCCTTGGAAAAAAGTGCTTGGCTCCTTTTCACAAACAGGCCAGCTGGGTTTCAGGGCAGCTCTGCTAGTGAGCCATGTGGTAGAGATTTATGCTCTGAGTTTCTAAGAAGGGGCTGCCAGAGCCAATGTTGGGCACATAGTAGGTCCATAATAAACATGCTCACTCTAAGTCCAGGCACAACCACACAGGGGAGTGTATTTATTTATTTCCACTCCTGGGGTTTAAATTCAGCCTGGGCACTATCCCTGAGCTTCTTTTGCTCAAGGCTTGCACTCTACCATTTGAGCCACAGCACCACTTCTGTCTTTTTCTGTGCATGTGGCACTGAGGAATGGAACCCAGGGCTTCATGCATGCTAGGCAAGCACTCTACCATTAAGCCATACTCCCAGCCCCGAGTATGGAGTATTTGGAGATGCATGCCCTCTTCCAGGAATATATGTGATGGGTCCAAGTCTAAATGGCTTTAGAATCCCAGCCTTTGCTAAAATACAGACTTCCTGGCTCAGCCTAATGGAAGAGCCTGGGATGGTGGACTTTCAGCTGTGCAGGAAGGCAGTACACTATCTCTCCCTCAGCAGCTGATGCTTCTCACTAGCAGCTGGGTTTCCCACGGTTTCTAGAAAGTTCTTCCCTAACAGGGAACAGTTTTGTATTTCATCCTCTTCATTTTATACGTGCAAACAGGGACAGGGTGGGCTTGCTCTAAATTACTTTGTGAATCAGTAGCAGACTAGCTTCTCTCCAATCTCATCTTCCATTAGTACCTCACCGGCTGGGCTGCTGATGGTCACGGAGTGCGACTCTGAACAGGGGAGATGGCCTTCTCTAACTTCAGCTAAGGATGACCTTACCTCCTCAGGAATATCTGAATCCCAGTTTCCCCGTCTGCGGACTGGGCGCAGGAAAGATTTCATGACTGCCGTTAAAGCGCTCAGCACAGTGCCAGGCTCGGAGCAAAAGCCCAGCCCTGACTCAGTTGGATTATTAGTCCTGCAGGATCTTGGACCTAGCTCTGCCATCTTGGCCCGTTGCTCCTCGCCTCGCTGGCACGGGAACCTCCCTGCGTGGGGCAGGATGTGGTGGGCGCCAGCGGGAACCAAGGGAAGGCATCGCACAGAGGGGAAAAGGGGAGAGAAAACCCCAAGGTCCGGAAGCCCCGGAGGGAGGCAGGCAGAGCCCGGGCTGAAAACCGCGGCTATTTGCAGCCTGGCCCTCGGGCTGCGGTCAGGCTGGGGCTGGCAGCCCTGGCGGCCGAGTCTGCCGCCCCGCCCTGGTGCCCTGGGCCACCGGGGCCCGGCCCAGGCCGGAGTGCCCGGCTGCCTGCGTCCGCACGGCCCAGGCCTGAGTGCCCGGCTGCCTGCGTCCGCACGGCCCGGGCGGCGGCTGGGTTCGGAGACCGAAAACAGAGGGAGGTTGGGGCCAAGGAGGGACCAGACTCTGGACAACCTGGGGAGTGACCCCAGGGCCGACGAGTACAGGGTGGGGCGTGATCCCAAGCGGTCTCCGTTCGGACACGACCCCCGGGAGGGCGGGGCCAGGCCCGGAGACGGCCCCCGGAGGGCGGGGCCAGGCCCGGAGACGGCCCCCCGGAGGGCGTGGCCAGGGCGGGGCCAGGTCCGGAGACGGCCCCCCGGAGGGCGGGGCCAGGGCGGGGCCAGGTCCCCCCCGGAGGGCGGGGCCAGTGCAGGTCCAGGTCCCGGCACGACTTCCGGGTGGGCGGGGCCAGTGCAGGTCCGGGTCCAGGTATGACCTCCGGGTAGGCGGTGCCAGGGCAGGTCTAGGTTCGGGTACGACCCCCCGGGGGGCGGAGCCAGGTCCGGAGACGACCCCCCCACCCAGGTGGGCGGGGCCAGAGCCCAGCTTAAACACTAGCCCGGGTGGGCGGCACGTCGGGCCCGGTGAGGTTCAGGTTAGACACCAACCCAGGCGGGTGACCCTCGGGTGGGTGACCCCCCGGCGGGCGGGGCCAGGGAGCGTCCAGGTCGGGGTACGGCCCCTCGGGTGGGCGATCGTGGGTGGGTGGCTCCCGGGTGGGCGGATCCAGGGCAAGGCCAGGTTCAGATTTGCTCCTCGGGTGGGTGACCCCGGCAGGTGACCCCGGGGAAGGGGTGGGCTGCGCAGGTCCGCGGGGTGGCCGCGGGGCGGGGCGGGCCGCGGCGCGGCTCTCCGGGCGCCGGGTGGGCGCAGGATTGCTGCGGTTTGGCCAGCCTTGCGGTGCCCAGGAGAGAAAGGCACCGGAGGAAGGACTTTTTAAAAAAGGAAATAAAAAGTGTGGAGAGGGAAACACGAGCGGAGGGCGGGATGCGGGCCGGAAGCCGGCGCTTCCGAGCGCCTACTCCACCGAGAGCAGGGGTGCAGGCCTGCTCAGAGAGCTCGAGCGCCCTAGGTAAGGCCGCCCAGTCTTCAAGTGTCGGAGTCGGGATTCGAACCCGGGTCGGCTTGCCACTCACGAGCTCTCACCTTGACTGATGAGCCGGCACGGGGCATGGCAGGGTTGAGGGGGGAGGGGACTGGTGT